TTTACTGTACTTCATTCGTCCTATCATAATAACTTATTTTCCTTTTTTCTATTCGTATTATAGCATATGACTATTTTTTATTTTAAATAAATTTATTATATTAAACATACTTAAATAATATAAATTAATTTAATTTAATTTTTAATATTTTACATATACATATATTGATTTATTCAAAACTCTGTTAAAATATCTTTACTGCATAAACAAATATTTTTTTTTACATTTAAAATTCTTTGTATTTTTTTTAATAAAACTAGATTAAATTAATGATAATGAAAATAAATGAGTATTTATTTATTTATTTATTTGTATTATACGCTATTCGTCCCACAATTTGTCATTTATTTTTAAAAATATAATTATACATTTCAATCATATTTAAAATTTAAAATTTTTTATATGATAATTATTTTAATTATATGATAATTATTTTTATTAATATACCTTTTAATTAATTATATAATATTTAAAAGTTCGTACCCCAACTACAATTGACAAATTAGCTAGGGAGAGACAATATAAAATTTATTATCTATAAAAATATATTTATATTGAATATATTTCAGATATAATACTAAAATTATTTAAACAAATATTTTAAATTTCTTTTAATAACATATATTAATTCATGTTTTTAAATAACAACAAAACTAATAACATAAAAAATAATAAAATATATTATCAATAATTTATTAATCTAAACTATTTTTACAAAAAAGTGTTTCTTGAACAAATGAATAATCATTTCTAAAACGAAATGAGTATTTAATACTATCAACTAAGATTTTCGTGCAGAAAATCACATATTGCATAATTTGTAAGAGAGAGTTTATTTTTTAAATAATTAATTTATTTTCGTACAAATTTTGCATTTTATAATCTTGTACCACCATATTTGTATTATTGTATATATAGATCTATATAGAGAGAAAAATTTAATATATATATATGTACAAATATTATAAGAAATATACGTAACAAGGGCATTCATGAATTTCTTTCATTATATCTAATTTTGAAAATAAATTATATATTTCTTTCGTCTGTTCAATAAATTTCATTATTTTTAATACAAAATGAATATTGTATATTAATATTGGTAATAAATACCTTTGTATGTTAACAATATTTTGTTCTTCTTTTAATTTGATGCAATAATATATAAATAAATAGGTATAAATCTAAGCTTTTGTAATGTGTTGTAATTTACACTTCCTAAAAAGAAAATTAATAAAATGTTATGTTTGTGTCAAAATGGGTTGAGCCCGTCGGGTTAGCCCGTTCCGCCTTACTTTTAAGGAGGGTTGGGTTGTAATTTTTTAAGCCCGTTAAAATACGAGCCTAAATGAGCCAACCCGCATGGGCTGTGAGTTGAGGGTGCGTTGGCCCGCAGTGGGGCGGGTTAGCTCGCGGGTCAAGTAAATATAACAATTAGTACCCACTTGTCTAACTAAATGTATTTTTTTACCATTTTTTACTGTCATATTAAAAAATTATAATAAAACTAATCAAATATTAATATAAGAACATATTTTTAATTTTTTATAAATTACAAACATACTATTATAAATAAGTTAAGACGAATAAAATACAATTTATATTATCATTAGCTTAAATATATTATCAATATTGTCTACACGTTGTTTTTTCTCTAACTATATTATTCATGACATTGTTATTTATTTTGATTTTTCATATCATTTGTTTTGTTCGTCTTCTATTTTATTATTTTATAATTTTACAAATTCATAAAATTAATTATGATTTATTTTTAATAATGAAGTATTTCTTATTATTAATTTTTTTTAAATAAGTCAATTAATAATATTTAAAATTGAGAATTTTTATATTTGTTATTTATTTTAAAATATTTATTATTTAAATTATACAATAAAATTACTTTTTGCTATTTTTGAAATATTAATTACAAAATTATTTATAATATTAATATTCTTTTAATATTTTTAAAAAGCCTGTGAGCTAGCCCGCTTAGCTCGCCACCCGCCGGTGGGTTGGGTTGGTTGGATTGATGAAATTTTGATCTGCATTACCGCGGGTTGGCCCGCAAACCACCCGTAGGGTGGGTTGTAGGCTAATCCGCCCTACTAACCCGTTTTGACATGTCTAGTTTGAACAATAACAAAAAATAAAATAAAATAATCTTTTAATTGCTATTGGATAGAGAAATTTTCATAAATATTATTAAAAAAATATAAACAAATTCACATAATACTCCACCGTTTGAATTACCTTGTTTATATTGCTGTTTCTTTACGCTTCACATCTCATGTTATTTTTCCTTAAAAAAACAATTATACATTTTAATTTCATTTTACATTTTTTACATTATATATTATTATAATTTTAATTAAATTAATTAATTATTTTAATCATAATTTATAATATTTTTATTATACAATAATTATTTAACTAATATATTTTTAATTATTTAATAATTATATCCCTTTTAAATTATCATATTTACAGTAATATAGATATAATAGACAAGACAAAGGGATATATACTATATTCACTTATAAAAAAGTAAAATATTATTTTTTATATTAGCAATAAAATTTTTCATAAATAACATAAAAATACGGTCTATCCAAAAATATAGAATAAAAAAAATTATTTTAATTTAATTTTCATTTTCATTTTAAATTGGAATAAATTTTCGAATAAAAGTTTCCCTTATAATGGGATGAAATATCAACCATTCGTTATTCATATACGAAAAAGGGTTTTTAACTAATTAAAAATTAATTAATAATTGAAAAAAAAAAAGAGACATACAAAATAATAGTATAAGCTGTTCCGATTTATGTAGCATATTTTTGCTTTTTATTAATTTAAAAAAACCACTATTTTATTTTTTTTTAGAAAATACTATATTTAACACTATTTTTTTATTAAAAACATTATGTTAAATAATATATTTTTATTTATTTATCTAAAACATATATTACAAGAAAACACACCATAATATTGCTACAATTTTTTTATTATAGTGGTTGTTGGAATGAAGAGATAATTTTAGAATTATAAAATCTAATGAAATTTTGATAAATAAATGCGTTTGACTATTATTATTAATTTCTATTTTTATGAAATTGTTTTCATCATTCAATAAATGGCGTATGTTGTCTTGTCATATTCTTATGACGTAAAATTTTTGGGGACCATATTTGTTTGATTTGTGTTTGATTTTGATTTTTTTTTTTTAATTTAAATTCAATATAAATAATATTTTATAAAAAAATATTTTATTTTTATAAAAAAGCGTATAAAATAAATATTAAAAAATAAGTATGACAGAAATTGTAGGTCTCACATTAGTTTTTTCAAGTTCAATTAGAGCCAAAGCTTTTATGGCAAAACTTAATATGTCAAAGATAGTTAGCCGACTATAAGGGTTACATTTACTTTTTACGTGTTGATATTTGAATATTAATTATAATATAAAAATAAAGTACAAATTAAAGGGAAAAAAAGGGTAAAAATATTTTTATTATTAGTGTCTTATAATACTATTATAATGACATTTGTGAACAAAATTATACAAATATAAGAATATTTTTAATGTTAAGTACAATGACACAAAGGTTAAATGAGATAGCTGGACGAAGGAGTATCACCCAACATTGTATTAACAAAAATGACAATGGGTTGTCCCGTAAGGGATGACCTGGTGGTGTAGAGGTTGGATTTGTGACCATGAGGTCATGGGTGACCTGGTGGTGTAGAAGTTGGACTTGTGACCGTGAGATCATGGGTTCCCCCGACGTCTTAGGTCACCTGCCACACATGGTGCGCACTTCGGGTAGCATCTACGTAAATGACGATGGGTTTGTTAGTTTGGTATTTTAATTTGAAATATTTATTTTCGTCATGTAGATAATATAAAAAATTAATATTTTATATTGAATTGCTAATTTTTTTGTGACAGAATATAATATAAATATTATATTTATATATTGAAAATTATATTAAAAAAAAAAGTTAATACGGTGAACAAACCTTTGTCGCACCATTAAAATGGGTAGGTAAAAATGGTAGGGAAGGAAACATGGATCATGGTGTTCCATACTCAATATAGGCGATCATGGTGCTCCATACTCAATGTGTTTACATCAATATAGGCGTAGAGCTTCTTTACCCGTTGTAGTAATGGTTCATGTTCATGGAAACGATTAAGAACATATTCGGACTTCCAATTTAAAATCAATTAGTGATAGATTGAATGGTCATTCACCTTTATAAGCCAAATGATTTTCCACATGTTTATCAATGTGAAACAATATACAACAAAAAACATTACCAATGCAAATGCTGTTATTTGAATTCTCATATTATTTGGTTCTCTAATATGAATATATATATATATATATTGTATTCAAATCAAAAGTATACATATACATATTAGCTTTTTGTCAATGTTAAATAATATTTAAGGAATGAGTAGGGTGTGGAATATAACACTAACAGACTTTTTTATTTAACATAGATGTATGTTGTATAACAATGTGTAACAATCTTCATTTTTAAATTTTTAAAATACAAACATACTTATTTTTCTTATATTTAAAAATAGTTTCTTTTTCTCTCTCTATATATATATTACTATCCTTAAAGGCCAAAAACATAAAATGAATACATACATTTGTAATTTTAATAATTTAGAAACTGAGATACTAATGCACATTCACAATTTGTGTTTAATATTATTCTACATTGGTAAATATTTGGGGATTCCCTTGCATATAAAGGTGAAGGACCACTCCACATATTATTAATTAGTTATAAGTCGAAAACTCGGATCCTTTTTAACAATTTGGTCAAGCATCATAGAGTTTATAAAAACCATAAAAAAAAAAAAATTAATACAGTACGAAAATTTTTGTAAAATTACAATTGAATTTTATACAATTTTACCTTATTACTAATATATAAAAATGCGACTTTTTTTATTTGGTCAGGTCAGAGTGAAAATGGGATTAATCAGCTCAATATTGTTTTTCTCATTTAACACATGAAACATAGGATCGGTACAAACTTTTCTCAAAAATTTACCCGAACTTACTTCCCCACCTGGCGGGGCTGGCGTCGCATCGAGCGCGCACCATAGAACACAAGCCACTGCTAAGAAAATTTCTTTAGTAATAAACCAAAGACGAAACATTGTATATCCGGCATTCATTTGTAACAACGATGCTCGGTGTATTGTGTATACGAACACTACAACAGATTGTCTGTCTAAGCACATCATACAGATTTTGAGTATACATCGACGCGTGTGAAGTATAAAAAAGAATTTCTTCGAATACAAAATGTCATTTACCTTAAGCTTACCACTTGCTGCTGCTGTGTATGATCTGATCTTTATCCCTCATAGAGTCGAGTGGGGGTATATATTATGCTGTCTGTTTTCAGAACCGTATAGGCAAACCGTGGTTGAGAAATGTTCTAATGCATCCGTCCCATCCAGCAGTCACGATGACGAGGCCCCACGAATGCGGAGAGTTCAATGCGCTGAGCCACGCATTTTTCAGAAACTTAAACTCGGATTTGTACAGCGGAGGCTTAGCCGGGGCGGGGATGGATTTGGGCAGTTTCTCCTCCGGCCATGTTGAGGATCCTTTGTGTAAAGCATCGAGAAAATAGCCGAGGCTTGCTGTGAAATAATCGGGAAAAGATGCAGGGAACTTGAGAGGCAACCGTTCCTCAAGATGCCCGTTGCCCAAAATACTCCCCGGTAAAGCTCCGAGCTTGCTTTTCAAGCCACACCAGGGAATGGCTATGGAAGCATGGCGCGACAAGAATCTCTCACATGACCATATGTTCTTCTTCTTCTTCTTCTGGTGGGAACTTATCAGGTCGGGGCTGGGGTAGGTCCAGACACGGACGTTGGAATCCTCGGTCGCAAGAACTATGTGTTCTCCGTCTGATGTAAAAGAAGCGGGCGCTTGGGTTGTTACAGAGCTTCGATTGCCTGAAGGAGGAAACAGAGGAAGTTCAGATGTATACGTTGGTTATGAACGGAAGCCGATTACAATCGACAAACTAATTTCCACCTCTGAATTTGCAGACAACATCAGTCCCGCAAAGTATTCGAACTTGAGAATCTGCAGAAGTGACCATTACTCTTCTTTCATCGCCGGGGCAATACTGGAAAATGCATATTAGATGTATTAGGATATCAATATGAAAATAATAATAATAAAAAAAAAACAATAGGAAACTCCACCTGAAATGCAGTTATTTTCTTGCCGGGTGATTTTTTCTTTCCCTCCAGGAAAACTTGAGCACCCAACTGCAGTTGATTATCTGAATCGGAAAAACATTGCATGAATGTTCCCAAAAATATAAAGGAAAAATTAATAAGGCAAATGCAGGCAACTATATTAACTACAGCTCTGAACACGGCAAATAATGCTAGCTTCTATTATCGACTTACATATTTGCAGGTTCTCTCCATATCGCTCTTTCTTTATTTTTTTCCAATTGACTACAGCGAGATTGTTCAAAGAAACTTCTCATAGGTTTCTTAGGGCACATGTTTATTTCTATAAATAATACTGAATTACTGGTGGTCTTGTTTCACAGTGCATAAGAAAAACTGATCCTTTCATTACATAATACACATTACTGCCCTAAGAGGGTAGGGGCAGCCAGACACTACATGAATTCTGATAAGGTATAATTGGATACCTATGACGTCAAAAAAATGGCAAGTTCCATCCACGGAGCCAACAATTCCTTCCTGAACAAATGAAAATTGTATTAAAGAAAGGTCACAGAAATCAAAGATATAATAAGGGAATGTACACAAACCTTTCCATTAGGAGAATAACACACAGCCGTCACAATTTCCCTGATGTCAATCCAATCAACAACGCGGCCACTATCAACTCTCCATATGCGTAATTTCCCATCAATTGAACCCGTAATAAAATTGTTATCATCCGCAGGGTTGAAGTCCACGCAAGTTACTGCACACGAAAAAAATACAGAAATGAATAAAAGACTTCAACATCAGACTGCTTTAACAACAAGATCAATAAAGAGTATACCGTAGTTATTATGTGGGTAAACTCCAAGGGAGTGGTCGTGCCCAACTTTCCACAACCGAGCTGTCTTATCAACCGACGATGAAATTAAATGCTGCAACATAAACAAGACAAGTGCACTTCAGAAAATGCTGAAGTTTATATTTTAGACATAATTCCAAGGCATGCCCCTTGCGGGAGGGGGCTTTATCGAATAAATAATACTAACCCCATTTCTAGACCATGAGAGAGCCAACACCTCGCCCTGATGGCCATGGAACTCATGAACAGGTTTCTCCGACAACTTAAAGACCTTTGGAGGAAGAATGACACAAGCTGAATCTGATGATGAATTCTTCGAACTTTTTTTATAGTTCTCCCTCTCTATGGCAACATGAGGTGGAGCCAGCTTGGAAGAATGGTTCAGCGAGAAGTATATACAAGAAGGGTTGATATTGTGAGTGTTGAGTTTGTTTACAATGTCATCTTCAAGGACGTTCCAGACACGCACTACACCATCTACCCCAGCAGTAGCCAGGTATTGGCCCTCGGGACTGAACTTCATAGTCAAGATGGAACCCTCATGTGCTGGAAACTCTTGTCCCGTGTAAAGATAGGATAATTCTTTCAAGCTTTTTTTATGTACACTAACATGAACTTTTCCAGAACTCGTCTGTGTTTTCAGAATGTTCTCGGGCTTACCAAGGAATTCCTTCGTCCTATTCACAATATTGGCCATCAACCTAAATCCCTGGAGCCAATTTTGCTTTTCTTTCTTCATGGGATCAAGTATGTTGAAAATCTTACAGTCTTTCTTCAATAAGTGCTGCACGAGGGACGAAGAGCCAAATGCTTTCTGTAACTTATCAAATGAAAGCATTTTATCTGTCCCAAGTTCCCAGAATGTTGTAACAGTGCCATCATAATCTGGCTTATCGACGAGATATTCAGTTCCAGCATCAAATTTTGTGAGATTCACAGTGAGGCTCCCCTCTACAGGGCCATCATCGGGCGAATGCATGGAATCACATGATTTGAAAGATTGCAAAGAACGGCTTGAAAAACATTGCAATTTTGAATCTAAATTCAGAAGCATAGCCTCTTCATTATCCCTTGATCTGACAGTATCTCTTCCCGTGTCTTCATGAGATGAACCCTCATCATCATCCACACTATTACTCTGCCAATCCGACATCAAACCCATCCATCTAAAAAATCTATCACGTCTTTGGCATACACTCTCTGGTTTCTTAGTCCAAAATTCATATTCAAGAGCACAATTCCCTAGCTGAGAACTCGTACAAACTTCTAAGCAATCTGAACTCAAATCAGATGCTGAAGAGATCTCATCACGAGTGTCGAAGAATTTATGTTCATCTAGTTCAGCATCATTATCCATCCTTTTTGAATTCATCCCATACAATACCTACATTCCAAAACAACAAATTACAATCAGGAATGAATTATATCTCTCAAATTATCAACAGTACAACACATAGAGAAAGGTAATCTCGTGTAATCAATCAACGAACGTCAAAATTCCACACCAAAAAAATGTTGAAAATTGAAATTCTCAAATCAATCACCGGAAATTAAGATAAGCGATCAAATCAAATACACCATAAATTCATATAGACGAAATTCAAACCCTAGAAACTACAAGCCGATCATCCTCACACACCCTACCCCTTCCCAAATCCCAACCCCCAAAACCCTAGGAGTACACATACACAAATCATGCACCTAAATTTAGGAAATTGAGATCCCCTGCTTTACAAAAACCAAAAACTAAAAAATTCGCCCTCACCTGTTCTTCCAAACACATGAATCAGAACAAGGAACCCTCGCACATCCTCTCACATCACCGATCACCCAACATATGCAGCAAAATCGATCCGCAAACTAATCGAACCAAAACAAACGCAGCAGCAACAAGGAAAAACAAAAACACGCTTGGATTGGACCAAAAAGATACCAAACCTCCCCGAACGGTAATTCAAAACACAGGAAAAAAGATGGTACGGTGGAACAAACCCAAAGAAAAAAGATGGAAACTGTGGTCTCCCCTCACCTCCCCCTCTGACACAGTCTTCTCCCTCTTTTCCCCTTTCGCTTTTCTTCGTGTTCGGTTAAAACCCACCATGCTATAAATATCATGTCAAATTACCATTCTACCCCTACCCTGTCCATCCTCTCAACTAACGGACGTGACTTTTGAATTGCCTTTCTTCTCCAAGGTCACTTCTGTAAACGTGTGGATGATATGTGATACAATTAAATTTGTTAAATCGAAATGATAAAATTAATTATGGCTCGTAAAATAAATTAAAATATCTGTAACGACAATAAAATTTCAACCGAAAAGTCGGGTTATATACCAACACGTTTTTTCAAAATTAGCGTTTTTTCCCGGCAAAATAGCGAAGGCGATTTTAGTAAAAGGATGGGAGTGCGGCATTTAATTTTTGACGCTTCTTTGTTGCCGTCCCGCGAATGCGTCAAACCGACGCCACCTTCCCGTGAATTTTCATTTGGGTTTAATTTCATCTGAATTTCAAAGTCATTTGGTCCTTTTATATATATGTATATACATATGTATATAAAAATATTCCAAAGTTTGTAGCCATTGGAAATAATTTGTTAATTTAATTTATGCGGTTGAATTGGGAGCCTCGTAAGATTCGGTGTGTTTGTCTATGTTTCCAAAATTATAAATTTATTTTTAATAGAAAAATAAATTATATGTGATTTAATTTATTTTTTTAAGAATTGTACTCCATATATATATATATTCTTATTCTAGGACAGTCTGGACTGCAATTTGATTACGTATACTTAGTTGATTACGAGATGTTAGAAATACTTTAAATAGTAAAAGTTTGTCGGCAGATTTAAATTTGAATTTGATTAGTGTTAATTTAGAGAATTTGGTGTTGGAATAAATTAAAATATTGATTTTGACCTTATTTATTTATTTATTTATTTTTATTATGTATAATTTATGTGCTGGTAAATGTAATACGTGTGTGCACATAATAAGTTTTGGAATGTGGAGGTGGTTTGTAGGGTGAATAAATATGATTCTGACATTATATTAAATATTAATAGACATTCAATAAAATATAAATCGATAATACAAGATTTGTAGGAATATAATATAAATCCCAATATAAAATAATAATACAATACATATTATAATTAAACTTGAAGTATAAGATATACGAAGAAAACACACTTATGTTAGGTAAGAGATGGCCTAATGGTGTAGGAGTTCAACTTAGTCATAGGTTCAAACCCCCGATGTCTCAGTCATCGGCCTTTTATTTTTTACAATATTTTATATACATTCATTATTTTTAAATTTCTCATACCTTATATAGAAAAAATGTTCATTCTAATTATTTCACAAAACAAAAACACACCCTTATATTTTTGGTTTTCTTTTTTAATTATAAAGTAATTTTTTTCTTTTTAACTATAAATCCCATTTTTTTTATAAATAGTTTTATTTTACAATAATATCATTATTTTTATATAAAAAAATAAATGTAAAATAAATTTTGTATTATTTTTAATTAATCACTATAATTAAAATATGATTATTTTAAAAAATTTGCATTAAAAATAAATAAATATTTTTAAAATTGACGAAGAAAGTATTAATTTGTCTATTAATTAGATGTTAATATGGAGTAGTATATAAATTGAATTGGAAATATTGTTGAATTGAATTTCTCAGTAAATTGAACGTTGGACAACTGAATATATAATTTTATTTTTTATTTTAAAAAAAGAGTGAATATATTTTTATACGATGGAGAAAATATATTTATTTATTTTTAAAATATTTTTATTTTCAGAATATACGTGATGTGGATTAGGGGGTGCATTTATGGACTGCGGTGGCACCAACATTGAACAGACACGTGGCTCGACATTAAATAATATTTAATTTTATTTAATTTGGTGACCAAACAGAACCTATTAATTTATATTTATTGTATGCTATCCAAACCTATGTATTGATTTTTGTCACTTGTCTGTGTCCAAAAGTTGGCTCAACTGTTTCTCAATGAATGAATAATAATAATAATAATAATAATAATAATAATAATAATAAAAGAGTGTCCCAAAAGCCATTAATTTTGCTTCTCATTTTCCCATCAAACCTTTGCTTCAAAGATTTCACTATTTTTTATTTTTTATTTTTCTAATTTTTAATGTATTTATACCATCATTGTTTACACATTTTTATATCTAATATTACACTATTTAGATAAAAAGTTTTGGAGTTTTTTTTTTTAATTTAAATAATAGATAATTGTATTTTTTATATTATTTTTCTATAGAAAAAAAAGATTCGTGTAATTTTTAAATTATTATTAATAAATATTATCAAAATTTTTGAAAGTAATTATACAAATAAAACTATAAATTATCATTACTACAAATATTTCGATTTTGTTACTTGTATATATATATGTATATTTAAAAAAATTTAAATTATTCTCTTAAAAAAAAAACTATTGAATATCGAATGGTTGTCATTTTCCATTTTTGTCCGTCCCAAAACAAGGTTATCATTTTCTAATTTAGTAATTGTATTACTTACCTAACATAATAAATACCCTTCTACCTTACAATATATTACACAAATGTCATTACTTTTATATTACACTATATTAATAGGGGTATTTTTGTCTTTTTTACTATAATCCAATATAATACTAATATTAAAAAATCTACGTGCAAAAAGCAAACACCACTCTTTGGCGGAGTATAAAATTCATAGATTGAATAGTAAAAAAATAAACTTAAGGGTGTGTTTGTTTGAAGGATTTTGGTGGATTTCTACTATTCATCCAATTTTTTTCCCCTAAAAAATATCAAATCAAACACCTATTTTTCATTTTTTATATTATACTAAAAATCAATTTTACATTCAAAACATCACATCAAACCCTATTTATATCACATCATACAACTATTCAAATTTAAAATTTTTACTATTCAAAACCCAACTCAAAATCCAAACCCCCAAACAAACACACAAAAAAACACGGGGAGACAAACTCAGGAGACTTTCAAATTTATGGGTTTTATGGGCTTAGGGCTCTTCGATCCATATTGGTGTTTTCTTCAGCTAAGCCCAACTATAGTATGTTTACTTTTATTTTTGAATTATTGCATTTTTTATAAAAAATCATATCAATAATATAAAAAATAAATTAAATAATATTTTATATTAAATTATTGATACTTTATAAGTAAATAACAATAATATATATTATATATTTTTTTTAGTAATATTCATCATAAATCATATAAAAAAAAATGATTAGATGACTCCTATCTATATTGAAATATACCATAATTTTGTCTATTTTAATTCATCAACTTAAATAATATAGTATAAGGGGTGCCTGAGTTTCAATGTAATATAATGATTGGTGACACCAACTTAGTATAGTGGTTGGTAGTTTTATTTTTATTTTTTATTTTTAAAATGATATAAGAAACTTTCGATTAAACGTAATAGTTAGCAAATTAATATAGTCATGAGTTACCATAAAAAATAATAAAAATACATTTCCATATTAACATCTTTGTCCAAAAAATTGAACACACTACTATTTATAATTATTGAAGTGGGCCAAATTCGAGCCCACGTGAGAGAACCAAAACACACCAAAAAGTGAAGCCAATTAATTTTCTTTTTACTTCTTATTCCATATAATTTATTTATTTTTAAAGTTCAATATTCTATTTCCATTCAATTCCAATATTATATCCATGTTTTTTTTAAAAAAAAAAATAAATAAATAAAATTCCAACATTATATTCTATTTATATATATATATATATTTTTTCGTTAGGGAATAATTAGAGTGTTGATAGGTCATGTGATGTCTAATCTATTTTTCATGTGTTAATCGAAATTAATCATCGTAATATTGATTAGCCATAATGTGTTTGTTTCATTTCTATCAGGGCTAATCAATATTATGTTTGTATAAATTATTATTATACATAGTCTGTTTTAATTTATACGTGTTGTATTAATATATATTTTGGGCTAAGATCAATTGTAATGTTACATTCGTCCCATAAGAAGAGTATATGAATTTTTTGTATTTAGATATTTGAATATTAATTATTATATCAGTACGTAGTACAAATTAAGAAAAAATGACAAAAATATATTTATTAGTATCTTGTAATACAAATACAATAATATTTGTTAAGTAAATTATATAAATATTATAATATTTTTAACGTTAAGTACAATAATATAAAAGATAAATGATATATATATTTTTATTGGATCCATATTTCGAATAAGACCAAGCCCATAAAATTTTTTTTATACTTTTTTATTTTTAATTGACTAGGAACTCATTTCGACATTTTCTTAATTGACCCAAATCAATGAATGCTGTCCGGAAGACTAATCATAACGATCACAATAATACAAATATAAATTTGACGAACATATTTAAATAAAATATAGATATAAATATAAATTTGATTATTATTATTATTAAATTATTTAAATTTAAGGGATACTGAGAAAAATATTGGAATCCGGAAAAGTCGGGTAGAAGGTGAGGTGTAAGAAGCACTTTCGGTTGGGACAGTATGATTGTGGTCTGCAAAATCAAAATCGGACGGTGGAGATCATTTCATTACAAACACGCGCACATGATGACTCATTCCTGTGGGGCCCTTACTCAATTTCCAAACATTTTCCCATTCACCCTTCCACGTGGCAACCCACCGCGGGCCCCACGCTTCCACGTCCTCAATTCGCCGCCAAATTTAACCTTAAAACATACATAAATTATTACTCCCTCCATCCCAGATATCGTGTCTGCTACACTGTAGACACGGTATTTTAGAAGGAGTGTAATTAGTAGATAATTAAGAATATATTAGTAAAAATAATTATTTTATAATATAAATAATTTTAAATTAAGATTAAGATAACTAATTAGTTTAATTAAAATAAAAAAAATTTAAAATTTAAAATGAGATTAAAGTATGTAATCATTTTCCAAAAAAAGAAAGTAATATGATATGTGGGACGGACAGAAACGGCAACGTGGACATGATATCTGGGACGGAGGGAGTATTAATTAATGGGACGAATTGTTTTAGGTTTGTTTTTTTATGATTTTAAATTAAAATTAATACTCCCTCCGTCCACTTACAATATTTACATATTTCTATTTTGGGACGTCTAATTACAAAGTTAATATTTCATTAAATACCCTACTTTTTTCCACAAATACCCTTACTTTATATCACATCATTACTTTTACACAAAAAAAGTAAGGGCAAAAATATCATTACACAACTTTTAACTACTCACTGTAATTAAAATACTATTATTTCTTAAACCCCGCGCCAAAAGTAAATGTAAACCTTATAAATGGATGAAGAGGGTATTACTCATATCTAAAATTTTAACTGAAAGTATATTATTTTATTTTATAAAATATTAGTTAAATAGAATTTTAAATTATAATAAAACAAACTTCTTTAAATTTGATTATTTTTGCGTAATTATAGTCAAATATTTTTTAAAAGTAAAATAAAATTCCTAGTATTTAGTACTTTGTGTATTTTTTTTAATACTATTTTTATTTTATTTTTATAATAGACAATAAAAATGACGCATTTCCAAATTTATAGCGGCTAGGTGTGTTTATTTGTGGGTTTGGAGTTTTTAATAATAAAATATTAATTTGAATAATTGTATGATTTAATATAAATAAGTATTGATGTAATATTTTTAATACAAAATAAATTTGAATTATAATATATATATATAAAAGTAATTGTTTTATGTGATATATTTTTAGAGAAAAAATAATTTGAATAGTAAAATTCAAAAAAAATAAAATAAAATTGTTTTTTATTTTTATTTTTATTACCATCATTTTACAACTATTTATTATTGAAATATGTCAATTCAAACACATATAAAAATGGATATAGATCTGGCATTTTTCAACCTAAATCTTGAAAATGGATTCATTTTAAATTCATGGCAGAATATCGAATTTACCTTGCCTAAAAATTGACGGCATTGGTGTCTTTTATAATAAGTAAAAATCTAGAATTATAATAATTATTTAATTTAATATAATATTTTATTTACGATTTTGTAGTAGATTAATAAGTAAAAATTGAGTATTTAATGTTATATTCCGTGAAAGAGAAAATAAGCTTGTCCCACTTAAAAAGGTTATTTTGCGATTTTGTAGTAGATTAATAAGTAATTGTATTTTATTAGTTAGAATAATTGTATAAATATGTAACAAGTTTTGTTATTTTTGTTATTTGATTTTATATATAAGGTAAAAATTGTATTTGTAATAATTTATAATTTAAGTAAAAAATTAAATAATATTTTTTGTATTAATATATAATTATATTTTTTAAAATAAAAAATTGATAATTTTAAATGGAATAAACAAAAATAATGAAAATTATATTTTGAATTAGGATGAAAAAAAGTATATAATTTAAAAAACGATAGTAATCATTTTCACTGTTAATAGAATATCAATATATATATAATAAATTATGGATAAAAAATACTAATTTTTTACGTTTATAGAGTGACTTAAATGCAAAAAATTTTTTTATTCGATTAATCATTTATTCTTGTCCTTTTTTTTTTTTTATATATATATTTCTCAACTGAACCAAACAAGAGAATTGATTCTCATTCTCTATTTAATTTTTTTTTCTCCAATTCTATTATCTACTCACATTTCTCTGCAATTCCATTATTTGTACCCAAGAGCTCCCTTATTCTTACAGTTTTGTATGATCCTGTATTTGTCATATACACATACTTTTATTTGTATAAAATTCAAGATTGTGCAATTATAAAATAGTAAAATATATGTTTATATGATCAAAATATGACTATAAAAAATTATAAAGCAAAATTGATCAAAAATAGATTTCGACAAGACTAACACGACCATTCTTATCGGGCTATAATTTAATTTTGTATGTTTTCATATTATGCAATGTACAATGAAATTATGTCTTTAACATAACATCTAATATATATCTATACATATTTAAAGAAAATTATCTATAATACAAATGTACAGAAACATATTTTCGTGTATTGTTAATAATAAAATCTATTTATTTGTGTCGTTTTCATTCTTTGGTTTCATTTACTTTTTTTTATATTTGTATAATATTTTACACAAATATTATTATAATAATATTATAAAATACTAAAATATTTTTTTTTTATTTATATTACTCCCTCCGTCCCATAATAAAGTATCCATTTTTTCATTTTAATCCGTCCCATAACAAAATATCTATTTTTCCATTTTAGTTCGTCCCATAACAAAGTATCCATTTCATTTTTTAGTAACTGTACTATCTACATAATATTACAAATACCCTTACAATTTACAATATATTACACAAATATCACTACATTTATATCACACGTACTAATAAGGTTATTTTAGTCATTTCAACTTTATTTGTACTATATCTTAATATAATATTAATATTTTTAAAATTACGTACAAAAAATAAATGAATATTTAATTTCGAAACGGAAAGAATATAATTTCATAGTAATTGATATTCAAATATTAACGTGGAGACGTAAATTACCTAATGGAGGAGGAGGTAGTAAGAGAGAGAGAGAGAGAGAGAGGGGTATGTCTGTCTCTGTGAGTGACACGCATAAAGAAGAAGCTCCATAGCCCTCACTCTCACATACATTACATACACTATACATACATACACACACATTTCAATTTTCAAACATTCCCTTTCCTGCTTTTTAAGCCACTTGCACCAAAAGCACTTCCACCCTCGCCCTCCCTTTTTAACAATTCTCCCTTCTTCTTCACGCTCTCCTCTCTCTCTCTCTCTCTCTCCTCAATCCTCCATGGATACTGCTTCTGCTCAATGGCCTCAGGTCAACACTTCCTCATCCTCCTTACATCCTTTCTAATTACTAATTGCCTTTTTCAACCTGTATAAATCTCTATTCATTTCCATCAAATCAGGGTTTTCTGCAACTTCATTTTAATTTATTTCTTCAATTAATTAAGATCTACTCTCTTCAATTTGTTTTTGGATATATATATATATATATCTGTGTCTATCTCTTTAATTACCTTTTTCCAATTTATTTATTTTCTTTTTGGGTCTGATCGGAGACGACATACACACACATATACATGTAACCTTCACTTTTCCTTTCAGTTTTGTGAATAAAGTGAATAAAGATTATTTTTGTTAGTATTATGTTTTGTTCCTTTCCACTTGTTTTTATATCTTAGCTAATTCATTTTATTTAATTATTTTTCGATTCATCAGTAATTTGTAAATCTTCTTCAATTCCCCCTTTTTAGGACATAGTGATGAAACCGATGGAGGAGATCGTAACATGTCCGAAGCCGGCGGCGGCGGCGGCGCCGCAGTCCAAAGTCCGGCCGCAGAAAGAGCACGCGCTGAACTGCCCTCGCTGCAACTCCACCAACACCAAGTTCTGCTACTACAACAACTACAGCCTCTCTCAGCCGCGCTACTTCTGCAAAACCTGCCGCCGGTACTGGACGGAGGGCGGCTCCCTCCGCAACATCCCCGTCGGCGGCGGCTCCCGGAAAAACAAGCGATCGTCGTCGTCGTCATCTTCTTCCTCTGCCGCCGCCGCCGCAAAGAAAGTGTCCCTCCCAGACCTAATCCACCCTCCCCAATTACAAAACCCTAACCCTAAAATCCTCGACGCGGCGGCGCAGGATCTCAATTTGGGGATTTTCTCGGCCCACCGGCAGGACTTCAAGGCGATAACGGAGATGATCCAGGTCCCGGACTTCGACGGGAGCGCGACCAAGCTGGAGCTCCAGAACCATCCGTCTTCATCGTCTTCTTCGTCGAATCTGGAGCTCCTAACAGGGCGAGGCCTGGGGGGTTTCACTGATCTGAACATGGTTTATTCGTCGGGATTTAATTTTAACGTTAATCCGTTGGGGGGATCGGATCAGTTCAAGGCGTCGTCGCTGAGCTTCTCCCTGGACGGGCTCGGCTGCGGCGGCGGCGGTTATGGAAGCTTCCAGGAGGATCAGGCGAATGGGAAGCAGCTTCTGTTTCCATTTGAGGATCTGAAGCAGGTCTCGAATTCCAACAATGGCGATGATCAGATTCATCATCAGGAGAATGAGGGAAGCAATAGGGATCAGATTAACAATGGTGGAGGTGATCATTCGAGTGGAGGATCGTTTTGGAATGGAGTCATGGGCACCAGTGGAGGCCCCTGGTAATTAATTAATAATTAATTAAAATTAATTTACACACACCACACACCATTAAAAAAAAAAAACTCTTCACTTCACTGCTACTGATGATGATGACGAGGATGATGATATATATATATATATAGAGAGAGAGAGAGAGGGAGGGAGGGAGTTGGTATATTTATTTTAATATATATGATTTGATGGATTGTGTTATTGTGGTTTAATTTAATTTTGTATTAGAGAGAAATTAATTTGACTTGTTTGGATCTCTTCAAATGTCAAGAAATTAGTTTAGGGTTGCTGCTGCTGCTGCTGCTGCTAGTGCTTCTTCAGGTTTACATTTCTCTCTCTCTCTAGATATATATATATATATTTATTTATATGTGTGAGTGATTTGATTTCATGGGGTTGATGAATTATTTTTAGGGTGAGAAAGTGGGGGTGATATATATATATATATGTATGTATGTATGCATGTTGTGTATATAGTGATTGTGTTGAGGGCAGATGAAGAGATATGAACAAGTCAATGAGATGATTTTCAATCAATGTGTGATTTTCTTCTGCTTTATTTTTATTTTTATATGATTTTTAACTTCAAATATAATTAACTTTAATATTTAGGAAAAAAAAAAAAAAAGGTTGATGTATATATGTTAAAAATGTATACATTTCTCTTAATTTTCTTTTATAAGTTATTTTATTATACAAGCTCGTTGTTTTCAATAAATATTTTCATGTGAAATATTGTTTAAGGATTATTTTGCCCAAAAATAACAAAAAATTAAGATATTTAAACTACAACACGTCTTTATAAGTTTTTTAAAGATGAAATTTTGCTTGAATTGTTTACAAAAAAAATGAATTTATTTTTATTAATAACAGTAAATTCATGAAGTAAAAAAAACTAAAACTAAAATAAAATTTCTAATAGAACATATGCATGATCAAAATTCAAGAAGAGTGAAGCTTCACTTATATAATTTGGATTTTCTTTCTATATATTGTTTTTATTTTATTTTTTTATTTTTTACTATTTATTATTATTATTAAAAATATATCATATTAAAACATATTTTTAATAGGCATTGTAAAAAAAAAAAAGAAAAAACAAATATACACACCCGCCAATTACCCTATTTTCATTTTTTTTCTTTTTTTTTTGTTTCATGATATAATTTATGTTTGTTTATTTGAAATTTAATTTAAACAGCAATTTGAACATAATCTTTTGTTAGAATAAATGATACTATAATTTTACAAAAAATTATAAATTTCAAATAAATAGAATACCTAAAATTATTATTAAAAGAGTTATTTTTAATATCAAAATCCTTTTAATTTATATAATATTTTATTTAATCATTATTTACTCTTAATTCTTTCAAATTCAAAAAAAAAAAAAATAAAAAATATATATATATATATATATAAATATGTATGGGTCATACTGTTGAAGCATCATTGAGTGATTCATATTTGTGCATAAATCCACTAATTTTCTTCACCTCCAATTTTATTTCACTTATTCCCATCAATTTAAGGCAGTATTTATATATATATATATATTTAAAATAATAATTGTTATAAATTATTTATTTAATAAATTGTCACGAATTCACCTTTCACCATCAAGTTATATCTTATAAGGTTTTATAGTAAGGTTATTCCAATACAAATTAGATATCAAAATGCTTATAACAAAAATTAATACAAATTGAAATTTTTATACATATAATGGAAAATTGGTCAATACTTTATTATATATATATATATTTATTTAGGAATAACATTTTTTTATTTATTATAAAAGTAAAATAGATATATATTTGAGTAGAAAGAAATGAGTGAGGAAAGGCATGCCATGCCATGTTCCTCTTTTAGTTGAAAGAAAAAGATTGAGAAAGATCTCAAGAACCCTACACATTTTTGAACATACAAATGGGCCCACAAACATTCTCTTAAACTTCTATTCCCTTCCTCTCTAATTAAATTATATTAGACTTTTTTAAATTTTATAATAGATTAAAAAATAATAGTGTGCTGTTAGTAAGTGGAAGTAGTATGTTAAGAGTTTTTTATATTTTTGTTATTTGATTTTTATGTATAAATTAATTGTACGTGTAATAGTATGTATGTTTGTAATTTAAATAAAAATTAAATGTATTTTGATATTAGTCTATGCTTACTTTTTCTAAAATAAAAAATAAATATTTTGAAATATGATAGACAAAAATTATAAAAATGATATTTTAAATTGAGAGAGAAATCGTATATTTTTATTTAGTGAGTCGAAAGTTTAAACCCATATTTCACAGTCACGAGTCCATTCCCACACCATCGTACCATCTTTTACATGACTTCCAAAATACTTGTTTTGTTCACTCTTGATACGATTTTTAAGTAGTATAATCTTGATAGTTTTTATTTTTATTTTTTTATCCATTTTATCATTGAATTTATAATTTGCACTTATAATAATAACTGACTATTAACGAATAAACTTTATAACTATTTTTAAATTAAAAATAATATTTCATTAGTTTCAAATAAATGTTTTTTATTTTTTTTATTTTTATTTGTCATATTAAAATATATCTATTTCTTACATTAAAGCGACTATAAAAATATCAAAAATATCTTATACATTACATTAACTAATAAAATTACATTATTTTTTAATACACTAAAAAAATTAAAATCAATGGATACTATCCTAGCAAATACTATATTAAAATGAAAATGGTATTATTATTACAATCTAGCCTAGTGTGTGTACAAATATAAATATATATATATATATATATATATACCACTCCTATATAGCTATTTTCTCGTCATTTGCTGTAAAGCACTACGTGGGGTGGGGGCATAAACGTCTATTTTGTACTCCATCAGCCGCTAAATATATGTACACTTTTTATTTAAATTTAAATTTAAATTTAAAATATAAATAATCAAATGACTAGTTACTCCTATATCCTATGCTATTTTATAATACAAATATACGTTTAGATATGTATAAATATATGCTAGTTATTCTTATAACCGTATATTGATCTGGTTAAATCAATATAATACTAATTTGGCCAGATCAACAGAGAATTTGATGTCATAATAAAAGTTTATTATATTCCAGTTGTCTTAAATTTTGTTGATTGAGTTTGTATGGTTCTTATGTAGTCAAGTACTATTTGACGGCCATCTTGAGTTTGTTGACAATATTTTTTAGAATCGGCTACAAATTAAGTATATGCTAATCATAGAGCAATTTTACTTTTTAAAATAAATATACAAAAGTAAATGCACGTTAGCATTTTATGCTGAAACCTGTCACATAGGTAGTTCATAACAATATATTAGCACACGCAGTAATATAAATAGTATTTCAATTGCAATAATTATGAGTTAAATATATTATTATTTCTATATAAATTTGGTTAAAGGGCCAAAACAATAAGATGTGTTATATCATATACAAGAGTGAAAATATACTGCTCCCTCCATCCCATGTAATATGGGTGTATTACCGTAGACACGGGAATTTAGGTAAAGTATAATTAGTAAGTAATCTAAAAAATGTATTAGAAAAAATAATTATTATTTTGTAAAAATAATTATAGATTAATATTAAGATAACTAAATAGTTTAATTAAGATTAAAAAAAAATTATATGGGACGGAGGGAGTATATAATTAATATTTGAGCGGTCGATAAGAGATCAGATCAATAGTATGTTTTTGTTGCTGTTTTGGTGATTATGTCGCTATTGCACATCGAAAGAAACCTGCATACTCTTCACTTTTCTTTCTCTTTTATTTCCTACTTTATTATTATTTTAATTTAAATAATAGTAGTATATAGAATTATTATGAAGTTTTATTTATTTATTTATTTATAATTTAAAGACCTTTGTTTGAGGTTTTTTTGTTTTATATATAGATGGTTTATTGTTTATAATTTTTTTTTAAATATTAAATCAAAATATTTTTTTTATTGTAAATACAAACTTGGATTATACAAATAAAATAAATGAAATATATTAAATAATCTTTTTTAATAAAATAAATAAATAATCAATCCTTAAATTTTTACCATTTTTGTAAAAATTAAATAATAATTTATTCATAAAAATTTATAAAATGAAGAATTAATATATTTAATATATATTAAAAAAAGCCTATTTAATATATTTACTATTTTCATTTATATAAAATTTTATTAAAAAAAGCCAGGCCGCCACGAACCCTTAAAAACTCGGTTTCGATTCGATTTTGAGGTGAATCGAACCGCCGGTCGTAAGGGAAAGGCAACTCTTGTCCCAATAGTACGGGTCTGTCGGGGCGAATCTTCATCGGGTAGAATCGGGTTTGTAAAAATTCGGGCGGGCGGGTATTTGTTGGGTTCGATTAGAATCCGATTTGTGGAAATGCTGTCGAGAATTCCATTTGAGGTTGATTTCTTCGTCCTACACCGTTTCGGTTGCGGTCGGATCGCTGCCGTCAGACGCTTGCTCCAGGTATCTCAAATTGACGATTACTTTCATTTATCGAAGCAAAAGTAAGGGTTTTCTATACTAATTTTCAGGAGAAACTCTCACTTGTATAATCGAATGAATTGTTCCTGACATCAACCTATGGGTAATTTGCTTTGCATAAGACGTAAGCTAACCTCTACTTGTTGTTCGTTTCGCCTGCCGATTTGTAAGGAACGAACGTTAGAGAGCATAAATTTAGTCGGACCTAGTGTTCCTTTAAGTTCTACTTAGCATTGCTTCTTAAGGTTGCTGATTTTAGGCAGAGCAGCTAATGTGCTATAATAATTCTTCAAGGATAGAATTTTTCGGTGTGTTTGTTCCATGGTTGGATTTTGGGTTAGAGAATGCCAAACCCTAAGCCTTAATTTCATTCCCCAAATCTATGTAGTTACAATGATTTATCTCCGAATTTGACGTGTTCATTGTTATCTTAATTTCAATTTCAATATGAAGATGTCTTATTGTTATATTACTTATTGCTGTTCTTGTGAATTCATTATTTTTGCTCCTTGTTATCTCAATTTCAGTTTGAAGATGTCTTAGGTTTCACAGCTTGTTTGCTGATTTGTTACAGCAATTTTTTCAGACACAACTGAAAGATACTGCTGAGGTTTTTCCTTTTTTTTTTTTTAAGATGGAGGACACTATATTAACCTCGGAAGCATCTTCCAAATCGTCAGACTTAAATTCCAACTCTCGTATGATTTGCCGCGTGTAAGTTCCTGTTTAAATCAATGGTTGTTTGATTAAAATGCTTATTGCGTTAGTGCTTGATTCAATTAGTATGCCTAATAAATGATTTTTGTGTTTATGCAGTTGCGAGAAACAGTTTTCGCAATATACGTGCCCTAGATGCAATGTTCGGTATTGTTCTCTGCATTGCTACAAGGTAGTTATCTGTTGTATCTATTTCATATGCTGCAATGGTTGTAAATGAGTATTTGATGTTATCCTTGCTTTTGAATGCTTCCATTGTTGTTTCATGCCTTTTGAGCTTAATATACGGTGTTTGATATAGATTTTCTGAACTATCCTCTGGTATTGTTGCAGTCTCATAATATTCGCTGTACTGAATCTTTTATGAGAGAAAATGTCATGGAAGAACTTCAACAGGTGCGACCGAATGAACAAAGTAAATCGAAGATGCTGGACATACTTAAACGGTTCCATGAAGAAGAGGAGACAGATAGCATGGATGGTGAAGGTATGTTTCATTTAAAGCTCGACTACTAAATAAAGTTGTTAATCGTAAGATTTCTGCCACACAATCGAAGCAATTTATGTGTTAAATGGTCAATGGAAGCACATCTTTTGAGTGGAAAAGGGTACAGATATTTTTTGTTTAAATTTGTCGCAAGTTATCCGGATGTAGGTTTATGACCATATCAAATACCTGCTGTTGAATTTCCATTTGATAGTTTTGATGCACTAAAAGGATTTCATTTCATATCTGAAGTAGAAATGCTATTTCCTCTTCATTTTGTGATTTATAGATGTGCAACAATTTCTTTATTACCATATGTTAATACTCTTAATGGTTTAGATTCAGATTCACCGTTGTCGGAGCAGACCATTCAGAAAATTCTATCGGGTATGCTCTCTCTCTCTCTATATATATATTTTGTTCTTAACTTAATATAAGAACAATTTCTTGTTTTCACAGGAGATCAAGTAAGTTTCGATGATTTATCTATCGAAGAAAAGAAATATTTTCAGAGAGCGGTGGCCTCTGGAGAGCTGAGCAAATTGATCAAGCCTTGGGATCCATGGTGGTTGAGACCTTCTGCTAAATTTGTATCCCTTAGCCCCGACGGATCCCAATTAATCCAATCAATTTCAAAAGACGAGCCGGGGGAGTCCTCCAGAAACGACACAGACAGTGACCAGTTGCACAATATACCACCAGGACCCGAAACTCCCCTGCCACCAATCAGCAAACTCACCACATCCGGCCCGTCTCCATTACTAACCATCCACCTTGTCGACATCCTATTCAGCTACTGCTTCACCCTTCGTCTTTACAACGGGGACTGGCGAGCAGACCCTCTTGAGTCGGCGACAGTTGTGCTGTCTATATCCTCTGTTTTAGGACAAGGAGATCAGCCAGAAACCATATTCGAAGCCTTGTCACATTGCCTGGAGCAAACATGTTCTGCACAATTCCGGCACATGGGTGGTTTGCAATTTGGCTTCGGCATTATCGATGATATAATTCATCTTCTCTATCTCGGGAGATCTGCTTTAGTGTGCTTGCTTTGTGATATGCAGAAAATAGTTCAGAATGGCGAGAGAGAGGTTAAGTCGGAGAAACTCCCCGTTTCAGAAAGGAAAGAATTGAAGAACAAACTCAAGTCCGCTGACCGGAAGATTTACTTCATCATGTGTTGGGTACACGAGCAGCCATCCGAAGCGTGGTCCTCGTTGGCGGCTATTGTCAATTCGGAGAAGATGTCTGCAACGGAATACGTAGACAGTAAACGAAACAACGTCGCCGGGATGAATCCCAAAACCGAAAAGATGGGAAAGCCTTTGATTAAAGAGGTATGATGGGCTGTTGTCTTCCTCATAATTTTCGAAGATGTTGTGTTTAATAGCCTCTGGATAATTGTTGGATTAGGATTTTAGAATCCGTAATATATGCAGAAATGATTTTGTAGAGGTAGTAAATACGAATACCTTTACTTTTACAATTTGTTAGGTTAAATTAAAGTTGAGTCATGATTTTGATTTTGGAGATTCTTGTGAATATGTGCATACAAAGAAACACAAGATTACTATAATTTTACATATATAATTTTTCACATCAAAAAAACCAAGAACCAAATACATACATACATCGTAACGAAGCTCAAGATTCCTTAGAATTTTCCATTGGACGAGATCAAAAGTCGAATGTATTAGAGCAAGCAAGAAGGAACGATGAAGAATTAGCTGTTTTGTCAAATCCATGATCGAGGTACACAATTATACCATCAATCGACAATCGTTCTTCCTTGACCTCGATGATATTTATTCTCTCAATAACGAACTTTCTTCGTCTTAAATGGCCATCAAGTAGTTCCATCCCAACATGGTGTGGCACCACCGTCATCACCAGCCGGTGTTGGCTATTCCCCACCCGAATGTTGATTGCATGGGAGTGTATCGACTCTAAAATTTTAATTGTTTTTATGGTTCTAATGAAGTCAAGTACTATTTGACCATCAACCTGACTACTTGAGTTTGTTGACAATATTTTTTTAGTATCAGAAATAAATAAATGCAACGAAATGACTGTGTAACTGACAGTACCAAAGCAATCTTCATCACAGAAAAGCAGCTAGGGCTAAACTTGACAATCCCCAATTCTACAAGCAGAAGCGTGCAGAGAAGGAACGAATCAATACAAATAGATCTCCAAATCCGCAAACAGGCACGCAGATTACAACATTTCCATGCCAATCAAAAGAAATGAGATGAAGAATCAAAAGTCGTATGCGCAAGCAAGAAGGGACAATCAAGAATCAGCTGTTTTTTCAATTCAACAAGAAACAAAACCAAAAATCAAACATCAATCAATTGACGAATCAATCAATCCTCATCCTCGACCTCAGCGACCTTGGATGTATCAAGAAGGAAATTCCCTTCCTTATACTTCTCCGAATCGTCTTCGGCCAACAAAAACTTCCATCCCAACAGGCTGTTACAATCTTCGCAGTAGATATCCGCCAAGATATACTCCCCCGTCGTCAGCTTCCGGTGTCGGCTCCTCCCCAACCGAATGTTCATTGCATGGGAGAATAGGAAAGCACTCCCATGTCGACCCTACAAATTAATTAATAACACTTGTAACTAATTAATTAATGCATGCTCTACTGGATCAAGAAAATTAGAAAAACGGGGCCAAGAATTTCTTGCCTGAAAGTCTCCGGGAATGATCTGATTATGAAATGCGATAAGATTTTTGCAATTGCAGCAACTGTAAATTCTTGTCTTCGGTAGAGCAGCAGAAACTTCAGCCATATCATCCATCTTCGATGATGATCAGAATTGGCACCTCACCTCACTTTTTTCTTCAACAATTACAGAAGCAATCAGAGAACAAAAACAGCAGTCAGTCAGTCAGTCTCGAATCTCTTTCGATAGATTTGTTCTTTATCCCCAAATCCAAGAAGAAGAACAAGTCAAGTAGATCAATCAATGTCTCCAGAGAAAGAAAAGAATCAAGAAATCGAAAAACATGCCCAAAACGGTAGGCAAACAAAGAAACTGTTGAAAATAGGAGAGAAGAGAAGAGGAGCAGATGAGAAAATTGTACTAGTAGTTAACGAAAGCTTTTTGTTTGCATATATAGGCAGCCCTAATATATATATATATATATATTAATTAGTTTTGGAAACAAGAAACAGTTTTTGCTCTCTGCAATGCATTGCTACATATATGGTACTTAGTTATCTACTGCTCCCTCTACTCTCACTCCAAATGGCCAATTAGGGTTTTCTAGTAAATTTAAAAATAATAGTATTTTATTAGTCAGTGAAAGTGCGTAAGAGTCATGTATAAAGTAATTGTACGATGAATAATATGTTTGTAATTTAAATAAAAGGTAAAAATATTTTGTTATTAATGTAGGATTACTTTACTAAAAATATGGAATGAATACTTTGGAGTAAGACGATCGAAAATAGTAAAAAAAAATTACTTTGAATTGAAACTAATAGAGTATTTCAAGCTGCAATCGTTTTAAATGTGTAATTCCATGAAGAAGGGGAGACTCGCAGATAGATTGGATGGTGAAGCTATGTTGTTTGTGTTAAATGGTCATAAATTTGATCTAATAAAATATATATTACTCAATCCGTCTCACTTAATTTGATATTATTTTTTATTTTCGTCTCTTCGATATAATATATTATTCATTTTCTAAAAATATAATTATACATTTTAATTACATTTTATTAGTATTATTTTTACTTTTAATTTTTCTACACTATTCCCCAATCGAATGTCGATTGCATTGCATTACATGGGAGAATAGGGCTCTGCTTTGTTTAGATGCGGATTTTTTTGGAATTTTAGAAATTTGAAAAATAAATAAATAAAGAATTAATATTTGATTTGATGTTTTGTAAAAGAAAAAATCCATTTGATCTGATATTTTTTACAAAATGAATATTGCGAAATAAGTAAAAGATTGTAATTAGTAATACACTATATAAGGATTATTAATCCCAACTAAATGGATGAGATTAATTTATCTTAAGTAATATTTGTACTAATGTTTATATTCGATTATGCCTGTTTCTGAATTTCCATTTGATATACATTTTTTATGTTCTAAAAGGATTTTCATTTCATATGTGAAGTAGAAATGCAATTAATTTCCTATTTCATTTTGTGATTGTTAGGAACAATTTTCTGTACTGTGACAGACAGGAAATCAAATGATCTGTCTATCGAAGAAAAATTAAGAAATATTTTGAGAGAGCTGTTGGCTTTTGGTCTTCCTACTTTGAATAGAATAGATGATCATGTCTGCAATTTGTGTCGATGTTTTTTTATGGGATCATTCATAAAAGATTCCACAATGGGTGAGACGTGCTATTTTATTGAAAACAACATATAGCAATTTATCAACACAATCAAGAACAACTTCATTGCAACCAAAATGCATCAAGAATTCAATCATCTTATCCATTGCGAAGAAATCAAAAATCGTATTTATGTATGTATATGCACAAGAACGAACATCGGATTAGCTTTTTGAATTCAATAAGAATCGCCGGAAAAAAAATCCATCATGAATTTATCAATCCTCATCCCCGAACTCGGTGATATTCAATCTCTCAATAACGAACTTCCCTTCCTTATACTTGTGGGAATCTTCGACGGCTATCAAGTACCTCCATCCCGACACGTTGTGGCAATCGTCGCAGTGGACATCCGCCACCATGAAAAGCCCCGTCATCATCTGCGGGTATTCTCTCTTCCCCAACCGAACGTTGAATGCACTGGAGAATAGGAAAGCACACCCTTTTGGACCCTACAAATTAATTATTAAGGTTGTGTTTTTTGTGGATTTTACACAAGATTTTTACTATTCAAAAATCCAAACTCCAAAACTCAAACCCACCCTAAAGTTGTAACAAATGTCATACTATATGTAATTGACTCAACACAACCTAATTAATTAATACACACACTCTACTGGATCAAGAAAGGGGCAGAAATTTGTTGCCTGAAAGTCTGTGGAAATGAGATGATCATGAAGTGCGACATGAGTTCTACACCTGTAGCAACTGTAAGACCTTATCCCGGGCATATTAGCAGCAGCAACATCAGCCCTATGATTCATCATCGTGATGATCAGACTTGGCACCTCACCTCACTTTGTTCTTCAACAATTACAGAATCAATGAGAGAACAAAAACAGCAGTCAGTCAGTCTCGAATCTCTCTCGATAGATTTGTTTTCTTATATATCCCCAAACCCAAGAAGAAGAAGAACAAGTCAAGTAGGTCAATCGATGTCTCCAGAAAAAGAAAAGAATCAAGAAGGAGACAGAAGTCAAAAAATCCAAAACGGATCGAAGGCAAAGAAAGAAAAGAAAGAGAAGAGAATAGCAGATGAGAAAGTTGTAGTAGTTAACAAAACCTTTTTTTTTTCTTTGCATTAATATATATATATATATATATAATTAAATAATTAATTAGTTTTGGAAACAAGAAACAGTTCTCCCAATTAATATGCTTGCTGCATGCCCTAGCTAGATGTTTTGTTCTCTGCAATGCATTGCTACATACATGGTAGGTAGTTGGTTGATTCCATTCCATAATATATAAATAAATAAATTATTTGTATACATCCTTTAATAAGCTTAAAGGGTGTTTTATATATATATATATATATATATCTATCTCTGTTAATACTCTTACATGGTTTAGATTTATGGGAAAACATTAATTCAGAAAATTCTTGAGTATGCTCAATCTCACTTTTTATCTATATATCAACTTTTATGTGAGCCAAGTTAATGTACTGAGTGGTAGAAATCCATATGATGGCACATCATAAATAGGCTGACAACATGTTGTATATATGAGAATCATTACTCCCAAATGTGTGTGTTTGTTTTGTGTTTTGATATTTTTTTATGTGAATTATGAGGAAATGTGTAGGCAATATAAAAATAAAGAGTCTGTATTATATTAATTTTTTTGAAAAAATATGTTTGTATACTTTTGTTAAAAGAAACAAAGAGAGTGTCTGATTCCTATGATTCCTGTATTTTTAGATTTTTTTTTTTATTTTTGTTTTGCTAATTTCTTTTTATATAAATTATATAAATTGAAAGTGCGCACTCGCTGAACCCTCGGCCGAATCTAATACTTGCAAATTAGGCCGACAAGGCAAGTCTAACTATACAAACCATGTGTAGCATGTAATCTGGAAGCATCGGAGGTTTGAACCTAAGTGTATCCTAAACCACTAAGCGGTCTAACATATTTTTATACATTTTATTGTATATAGATAATTTGATACAATATTGTGGTTGGCGAAGTGGCGATTAACAAACAATGAGTTGTCAATGTTAAATTTTAAAGTTCAGCATCGGAACGATCGCCTAATCATATATCCATCTATATATATACATATTAATTATGTGTGTGAATAAGAGATTTTAAGACTATGAGCAAGCAAGAACGAACAATGAAGAATAAGTCTTTTCAATTCAACAAGAACAAACCAAAAAGTCCATCATCAATAATACCGTCAATATCAATCCTCGACCTCAGCGACCTTCAATGTCTCAAGAACGAACTTCCCTTCCTTATACTTCTCCGAATCTTCTTCGGCCTTTAAGTACTTCCATCCCAACATGCTGTTGCAATCTTTGCAGAAGACATCCGCCACCGTATACACCCCCGTCATCAGCTGCCGGCGTTGGCTCTTCGCCACCCGAATGTTGATTGCATGGCAGAGTAGGAAAGCACGCCCTAGTCGACCCTACAAATTAATTTATAACACTTGTAACTAATTAATTAATGCATGCTCTACTGGATCAAGAAAATTAGAAAAACAGAGCCCAAAAATTTCTTGCCACAAAGTCTCCGGGAATGATATGATTATGAAATGCGATATGAGTTTTGCAACTGCAGCAACTGTAAATTCTTATCTTCGGTAGAGCAGCAGAAACTTCAGCCATATTGTTCATCTTCGATGATGATCAGAATTGACACCTCACGTAATTGTTCTTCAACAATTACAGAATCAATCAGAGAACAAAAACAGCAGAAAAAGAAAAGAATCAAGAAATCGAAAAACATGAAAATAGGAGAGAAGAGAAGAGAAGAGCAAATGAGAAAGTTGTAGTAGTAGTTCACAAAACCCTTTTTTTCTTTGCATATATATATATATATATAATTAAATAATTAATTAGTTTTGAAAACAAGAAACAGTTTTCCCTCTCTGCCATGCATTGATACATACATGGTAGCAAATAAATTATGTGTATATATCCTTTAATAAGCTTAAAGGATGTTCATTTCATATCTGATGTGTAACTATTTATATATTAATACTCTTACATGGTTTAGATTTATGGGAAAATATTAATTCAGAAAATTCTTTGGTATGCTCATTCTCATCTTTTCTCTATATATCAACTTTTATGTGGGCGAATGTGTGTTTGTTTGGAGGATTGGATTTACATTGTTCATCCTATTTTTTCTCCCCCCAAAATATTAAATCAAACACCTATTTTTCATTTTTTATATTATACTAAAAATTAATTTTACATTCAAATCATCACATCAATACCTGTTTATATCACATCATACAACTATTCAAATTCAAAATTTTTACTATTAGTCAAAATCCAAACTCCCAAACAAATACACCCTTCATGTACTGAGGGGTATAAATCCATATGATTTTGATTTTTCCGTCCGCACATCATAAATAGGCGCCAACATATTGTGTAGACTATTATTATATTTTATCTGATCATGCAATATATTTTAAGACTAATAAAGAATATATATATATATAACATATTAAATAGCTTTTAATCAATACATTATTTTAAAAATTTGATTACAAAATATTTAAATTAGCAGTTTGGATGTTGTGTTGAACTTAACTTAAAATTTAGCACAGTAAGCAGAATTCTCCATTGGATACGAGAACAAAAGTGACGAACAATAAAAGAATGAGTGTTTTCAATTCAGCAAGAGTAAAATGAAAAATCCATCATCGAGGTACACAATAATACCATCAATCAATTATCAATCGACAATCAATCCTCCTTGTCCTCGATGATATTTCTTCTCTCAATAACGAACTTCCCTTCCTTATACTTTTGCGACTCTTGGTCTTTAGTGGCCATCAAGTACTTCCATCCCAACACGGTGTCGCAATCGTTGCAGTAGACATCAGCCACAATATACTCCCCCATCACCAGCTGCCGGTGTTCGCTCTTCCCAACCCGAATGTTGAATGCATGGGATAATAGGAAAGCACACCCATGTCGACCCTAATTAATGAATTAATTGATACTATTTGTAACAAATGTCATACTAGTAAGTAGTATTATGCTATACGTAAATGACACACCACAGCCACACCCTACATAATACACACACACTACACTCTACTGGATCAAGAAAAAGGGCCAAAACGTCTTGCCTGAATTTCTCTGCATATGATATGATCATCAAGTGCAACCTGAGTTCGGCACCTGCGGCAACTGTAAAACCTTATCTCCGTTGTATCAGCAACAGCGACAGCCATACTTGTTTCTGATGATGATGATTACGATCAGAATTGGCACCTCACCTCATCTCACTTTGTTTTTCAACAATTATAGAATCAATCAGAGAACAACAACAACAGCCGTCATCAGTCTGTCAGTCTTGAATCTTTATAGATTTGTTCTTTTATCCCCAAATCCAAGCAGAAGAAGAAGAAGTCAAGTAGTCGATCAATGTCTCCCGAGAGGAAAAGAATCAAGAAAAGGTCGTCTATAGAAATCAAAATATCCAAAACGGAAGGCAAAGAAAGAAACTGTAGAGAAGAGGAGAGAAGAGCATATGAGAAAAATTGTACTGGTTAACAAAACCCTTTTTGTTTGCATATAATATGCCTGCCTGTTGGTGAATTGATACCAGTTTAGCGGCTAAGGCTTCATCATTTGTCTCATTTCTGAAAATATTTGTTTTCTTTGATTTGATTGATGATAACATATTTGATCCCAATGCGCTTGCAGTTACTTACTGTGCTGAATCTGAATTTTAAGTTCAATTCAGCACAACATCACTCTTTAGAAATTTTAAGTCAAACAGTTAATAATATATATATCGGCTGCCTATACTATATATGTATATGCAAACAAAAAGGGTTTTGTTAACCAGTACAATTTTTCTCATATGCTCTTCTCTCCTCTTCTCTACAGTTTCTTTCTTTGCCTTCCGTTTTGGATATTTTGATTTCTATAGACGACCTTTTCTTGATTCTTTTCCTCTCGGGAGACATTGATCGACTACTTGACTTCTTCTTCTTCTGCTTGGATTTGGGGATAAAAGAACAAATCTATAAAGATTCAAGACTGACAGACTGATGACGGCTGTTGTTGTTGTTCTCTGATTGATTCTGTAATTGTTGAAAAACAAAGTGAGATGAGGTGAGGTGCCAATTCTGATCGTAATCATCATCATCAGAAACAAGTATGGCTGTCGCTGTTGCTGATACAACGGAGATAAGGTTTTACAGTTGCCGCAGGTGCCGAACTCAGGTTGCACTTGATGATCATATCATATGCAGAGAAATTCAGGCAAGACGTTTTGGCCCTTTTTCTTGATCCAGTGGAGTGTAGTGTGTTTGTGTATTAATTAGGCTGTGGCTGTGGTGTTTCAATTACATATAGCATAATACTACTTACTAGTACGACATTTGTTACAAATAGTATCAACTAATTAATTAATTTGTTTGTAGGGTCGACACGGATGTGCTTTCCTATTCTCGAATGTATTCAACATTCGGGTGGGGAAGAGCGAACACCGGCAGCTGGTGATGGGGAGTATATCGTGGCTGATGTCTACTGCCACGATTGCAACACCGTGTTGGGATGGAAGTACTTGATGGCCACTGAAGACCAAGAGTCGCAAAAGTATAAGGAAGGGAAGTTCGTTATTGAGAGAAGAAATATCATCGAGGTCAAGGAGGATTGATTGTCGATTGATAATTGATTGATGGTATTATTGTGTACCTCGATCATGGATTTTTCATTTTACTCTTGCTGAATCGAAAACACTAGTTCTTTCATTGTTCGATACTTTTGTTCTCGTGTCCAATGGAGAATTCTAAAGATTCTTGCGCGTAGTTACGATTCAATGCATGTTGGTTGAATTGTGTTTCTCTGGGTAAATCCCTGGTCAAATCTAATAGCATGCAAATTAAGTCCGACAAGCAAGTCACACTAGACAAATTATGTGTGACAGACAAGACTTAAAGACATCGGAATTTGAATTCATGATCTCACAGTCACGAGCTCATTTCACCACCGCTACCAAACATGGAGGTGTCGGGTTTGGTTCTTGGTTGATACTTTGATTGCTTTGATGTGAAAATATATGAGTGTATTTTTTTTACCAGCCACGCTCCAAATTTTTACTATTTAGACTATGTCTTTTTAAAAAAATACACTTTTTTATTTTTTACAAATCACATCATACCTTATTTTAATATCAAAACCAAACCAAAATTTCTTACCATCCATCAAAAGAAACACATCCTATATATATTATTATTAATCACTCCGTCTGCTTATATCCACTTTACCGTAACAAGAGAATTTAAGATGGTATAATTAGTAAATAATTAATAATACTATTAATAAAAATAATTATCGTATAATAAAAATATAAATTAAAATTAAAAAATTAATTAGTCTAATTAAAATTAATAATTTAGAAATAAGATTAAAATATATAAATATTTTCAAAAAAAAATAACAAAATAAGTGGAACTGATGAAAATAAAAAGATGAACTGATAAAAGAATAATTATTATATAATAAAAATAATTATTAATTAAAATTATAATAACTAAATAGTTTCATTAAAATTAAAAAAATTATAAATTATGAATTTTAAAATTTATCAAAACTCCTTTTTATTAGATTGGAACCAAGTAACTTACCAACAATTAAAATGTATTAAAATATTAAAATATAAAAAAAAAAAAAGACAGAAAAATTTGATGGGATGGAACAAAATAAAAAGAGTGCAAATGATGTGGAATTGAGGAAGATTTTTTCCCAAAGAAACGTCATAGCCTAGTTGGTATATTATATAATATATTATATTTGTCTATTAGTAAATTTTTTATTTGTCATTTTAATTTGTCGAAATGAAAACTTTTTTTAGGAAGTCACGCTAAATATCAAAATAACTATATTTTTTAATTTTCACATTACTTTTATTTTAATTCCAAGGATAAAATAAAAATTACACTACTTATCTGAAAAATATTAATTTATTTTATTCCGCGTAAAAAAGTCAAATGAAAAGCTTTCTATTTGACGAAGAGGCACCACATAACATACTTAAATCTAAATCTATTAAATTTAAAACTAAATATCTAAAATAAACATTTTCTTTGAAACTTAAATAGAATCGCAAAAAGCAACTTTAATTGGAAAAGAAAATTGAATACAAATACAAATCTAAACAATCTAATCTAAATATAAAACCAAATCTAAATCTCCCAAATTGTAAAAACTTAAAAATCTCAAGAGATAGAGAGGAAAACTGAAAAGAACAGTGCGACGGAGACTTGTGTTTGTTTGGGAAATTTGATTAGATTTCCACCGTTCATCCAATTTTTTTCATAAAAAAACACCTATTTCTTATTTTTTATATTATACTAACAATCAAATTTACATTCAAAACATCACATCAACACCTATTTATATCACATCATTAAACTATTCAAATTCAAAATTTTTACTATTCAAATCTCAACTCAAAATCCAAATCCTCAAATATTATTAAAATATTTTGATTTGATGGTTAATGAAACGGGAATCGCTACTTTTTCGAATCTGTGCAGTGCTGGACGAAAAATCTAGTCTAAACGATTTTGGCCTGATTGTTTGGCTTAATATCTGGGATATATATATATATACAAAATTCTAATTTATCCATATTTTGGTTATTTATTATGATAATTTGTTATTCTATCAAATTTTATTTAATTATTCAAACTTAATATTTTAAAAAATAAAATAAAACTTAAAAAATTATATGAATACACGAATTAATCTTTTAGAAATTAACTCTTTAGTCAATAAATAATTTCAAAAGACTAATTTACAAAAACAATTAAATTAGCTCAAAAAACTAAAATTCCTAAATACATCCTCTGCCATTTTGTGCTGAACTGAACTGAACTTAAAAGATTCAGCGCTGGAAGAATTTTATAAAAGTAAGTTTCGATGATTTATCAATCTAAGAAAAGATATTTTCAGAATGGCATGATATTTTTGCATCTAGCTAAGAGATCTAATTGACGAAAGAATAGAAGAAGAGTAAAAACTTCATCAAATTAATGATATGATCCCAATTTGCAGAATTCAAAACATAAAAATACAACTCTGGTCTCTCAAAATATTTTTTGATGGTTTATCGGATCGAACCAGTCAAAATTGAATGAATTTTTCGGCTTCCTAAAAAAACTCCGCACAGTGTTCACAAGTAATAAATAAATAAATAAATAAAAGGGACAAAGATAAATGAAAAAAGATCGAGGAAATAACAAAAAAATCCGGAACCATATTCGCAATAAATAAATAACTAAAAGAGAAAAAATGGTACAAAATAAATGAGAAGAAAATAAGAAAATAACAAAAAGATCCGGAACCCTATTCGCAAGTAATACATAAAAGAAAAAAGAAAGAGAAAAATGGACAAAGATAAATAAAAAGAAAACAAAAAAATAACAAAAATGATAAAGGATAGCAAATACTTCCTCCGTCTCAAATAAGGTGCAACGTTTGTTTTTTGCACGGGTTTTTAGGTGGATAATATTAAATAGGATAATTTAGAAATTAGGTGATGCTATAGAAAAAGAAATATATATTTTAGTTTTTTATTTGAATGATGTGAGGGGATAAAGTGTGGGGCAGAGAGATTAAGTATAATTAATTATTTTCTATTTTGAAAAGGAGAAAAATGAGACAAATAAATGAAAAGAAAGCAAACAAATAACAAAAAGGATCTGGAACTATTTGCAAGTAATAAATAAGAAAAAGAGAAGAAAGGGACAAATATTAAATGAGAAGAAAGTAAGAAAATAAAACAAAATGAAAGAAAAATTAAAGAAAACATAAAGAAAATAAAAACAAGAAAGAAAGGAAATTGTAAATGGAAGGAATGATGCATAAAAATTAAAATTTGCGAGGAGAAAAGAGGGAGGAGGAAAGAGAAAATGTTTCTTTTCATTTGTCTCTTACCTTTATATATACTATAGACTTACCAAATTTAGACTCCTGCTAAAAATTATATTTTATTCAAATTTATTAATATTTTAATAAATTATTTAAAATCAAATAATATTTATTTCAAATAATAACGTTCACCAGCATTTTTAATAAATTATTTAAAATCAAATAATATTTATTTCAAATAATAACGTTCACCAGCATTTTTTATGAAATAATTTTCTTTTTTTGTATAGTATAAAATTGTGTCAAAAATATAAAATATATTATTTTATATTTGAATATTTAATTTTTTTTACTTTTGTATTTTGACCTTTCAACGTTTATATAAAATATTGTATTTTTTATTATTAATTTTTTAGAATGGCATTTAAAAAATGATTTCGAACGTTTATATAAAATATTGTATTTTTTATTATTAATTTTTTAGAATCGCATTTAAAAAATGATTTTGAAATAACAGAGCAAATATTTGGGATACCAACAACATAAAATGTTTGAGCATATGATGTGAAAGAATGCAAAGAGGGAAAGGTGTTTCGAGAATTGAACCTGTGGTTTTCCTCATCTCCTTCGTCGCTTCCGCTGAAGAGTCTCACCACCATCACCATCAGCATCAGCATCAGCATCACCATTACTGTCGACCGAACCCGAACCAGAGCCTGCACCACAATCACCATTACTGTCGAGCAAATCAGAACCAGAGCCAGCGCCATTATCATCATCACAGTAGCCATGGAACAAGGCAATGTCCTCGACATTCACCTTCACAGCATCATCCCTGACCCCAATGTCGCAAGCATACCGGCTTAAAGAATACATAGCAGCCGTTGCCGCAACAAAGCCAACCGGACCCGAGGCCAAAAACTTAAGCGGCACAGACAGAAAAGCAGCCAAAGGAGCTCCTATGGCGCCCAAGGCTTGGCCACTGCTTTCCTTGCCGCGAACAAGGAGGCCGGTTTTACAATACAGAGCGAAATCCTCGCAGTTATTGGTGAACAAATGGTAGTTGCCGAATCCATTGTGGAGCAAATACATAGCCCTGTGAATCACAGCTGCTGATGGATCAGATTCTGCAGTTGTGCATGTTCCGCCGCGGAATTTAGCAATGAATGCCAGCCGGCTGGCGCCATACTCGAATCGATGCAGCAGCCCCTTCCCCAGGAAGCAATTTAGACAAGACATGGTTACTCCGCTAGGATGTTTTCTGAATCCGCAGTCTGGAATACCTGAACAAGGAGAATCTGCAGTGTTGGACGAACATGATGACAGGAACATGGAGCTTAATTCGCTGGGTGAACTAAAACTTTGGTCATGTGTGAAGTGCACCACTTTATCCCCACCAACAAAGATGCCTAAGAACAATTAACAGTTTCAGAAATACAGCAAAATATGAAATCAGAATCACACCAAATATGAACATCAACTGGAAAACTACAGTTCCAAAGCAATCAGTTAGTTAATCGAACAAAAGCTAGGGATGAAATAGACCGTTAAATCAATACAAATTATGCAATCCCCAATTCTACAAGCAAAAGAGTACGGAGAACGAATCAATACCACCCTCCAATTTCGCAAACGTAAATGCGTCATTCGAACAGGTAAATTCCAGCATTTTCGTATTATTCGTCCAATCGAACAGACGCAGTAACAAACAGGGAAACAGAAGAAGCTGTAGAAACAGATGAGATGAAGAATTAAACCGTGGTGAGAGTAAGTAAAAGCAGTTCTCCACGTGTAGATGTGGTCGGCGGCGCTCAAATCGCCTCGCTCCACTCTGTGTGAGAGGACGCCCATTCGAAATTCCGCAGCTTTTCAGTTTCCCCTTTCTAATTCGTCAGATTTGAAATTTCCGCAATCTTCTACCGTTCCTCGTAATTATTACTACAGAAGTATCATTCATTCATCCACGGATGATTCTTCTTCCGCCATTGCAGAAGGTCCATCGCTACAGATTCAAAATAGCAGACAGAGGGCAGACGAGACGACGACGACGCACAGCGGGTTTTAAGAATTTTCAATTTTTAGTATAGCACAGCCCACAAACAGACGGTTACATATATAATTTTGGAAAAATAAAAAATTAAATAAATGGCGTCGCCCGGACTCGAACCGGAGACCTTCAGTGTGTTAGACTGACGTGATAACCAACTACACCACGACACCTTTCGTTTGAAAGTTTCCACATATACTTTTATAAACTTTTAAATTTTACTGCTTTGAATGACCGTAAAAGAGTGAAATTTCACTAATTACGCATGTTCAAATATTTTAATCAAATTCAAACTCCACTTTGATTCATGAAAACTTTAAGTTGTATGGTGGTTGTGTTTTGGCCCATCTCAACTATTTTGTCCATGATCGATAAATATATATTGCTATGTTCTCTGTTGCAATAAACTTTTATCTTCTTCACCGTATCTCCCGAATTAGTTTACTCCGTGTTCATTAAGGTGAGTTTTTTCTTCGGTTCAAAGCCCTCCAATTCCAACTGTTTTGCCTTCGAGTGTCGGGTTTCAATTTCTTCAGTAGGAGATAATATCTAGATAAGCCACATAAGTGTATGTTTCCAATTTAAATGATAAGTCCTATGTATTTATTTTCAATCTAGTTTTATTATCCTAAAATTTAGCTTAATATTTTACTGATACAGAAAAATAACAAAACTACAAAAAGAGAAAACACAAGATGAACATAATAACAATATATGAATACAATAATCAAGAACAACTTCATCCGCTGCATTTATTGAATTATCCATCGCAAAGAAATCAAAATGCATATATGCACAAGAACGAACAATGAATTACAATTTCAATGGATCGATCAATCCTCGGTGTTGATGATCTTCAACTTCTCGAGTATAAACTTCCCTTCCTTATACTTCTGCGAGTCTTCGTAGGCCCTCAAATACTTCCATCCCAAAACAGCGTTGCAGTCGCTGCAGTAGATATCGGCCACCGTATGGAGCCCCGTCATCAGCTGCCGGTCTTCTCTATTCCCCAAATTGATGTTCATTGCATGGGAGAACAGGAAAGCACGCCCGTGTCGACCCTACAATATCAAATTAATTTACTTAAATAATCGAAATTGGATCAACAAAAGAAAATATTAGAGAAAGTGCAAAAGATTCTTGCCTGAAATGCTTTCGAAATAATGTCGTCATGAAGAGCGACATGAGTTCTGCAATTGCAGCAACTGTAAACCCTTATCGCCATAATATTATTAGTATGATTATTATCAGCAGCAGCCATATTCATATTCGATGATGATCAGAATTGGGACCTCACTTCACTTTCTTTCAATAATTAACAAAAAACAGGGCTTTTAAATCGTCAGTCAGTCTCGAATCTCGATTTGTTTTATCCCCAAATCCAAGAAGAAGAAGAACAAGTCAAGTAGGTCAATGCCTCCGAAATATTTTTCAAGAAAAGAGACAGAAATCAAAAACCCAAAACGAAAGCAGAGAATCTGTAGAAAAGGGTTTGGAAAGAGACCTCTATTTAAGTAGAAGTAACTAAAAATGGAGGATCATCCATGCCTCTCTCCCTGATCAATTATTTCCGCAAGAAATCGAACCACCCTTCTGTAGAGTAGAGAGAGAAAGAAACAAAAAAAGAAAGAGAGAGAGAGAGAGAGAGAGAGAGAGAGATCACCTGATAATCGTGACGTGGGGCTTCTGAGAGTTGGAAAGGGTCGCGACGGTGAGAGGAGAAAAGAGGAGAGAAGGGCTAAGAGGCAAAGGGGATTGAACAAGTTGTAATTATTATTATTGTCTTGGGTCGGCCCTCATGATGGATGGGTAATGTAAAACAATAATGGCTTGTTTGATCTGATCATACGCCAAAGAGAAAAGGACAAATTTTAATGGAAGTTTCATTTTTCATTTTAAACTTTTGACCAATCAAGAGCTTAAAATATAATGACAACAAATAAATGGAGGTTAAAAGAAAGAAAAAGAAATATGCGTATACCATAAGAACTTCAAAAAGAAAAAACTAATTAAATATCAGAAGCAGATCAGATCAGAGATAGCAGCAGAAAGAGAGAAGGAATTCCGACCGCCGGCGGCACAAGGAGCCGGAGCATCGCCGTCCGGCGAAGGGGCCATCATCGGCGTAACTTCCGGCCGGAGATTTCAGGGGAGCATTTGATTTATTCTATAAAATTAGTCCTCAATATTTTCTTCTGCTCAAGAACAAGGGGGAATGGATAAATATTTTAGTTAAAAAAGCAATTCATTCTCACTCACTAACTCATTCACTCACTCCAATATTTTTCCTCTGCAACTTTTCCGATGCCCTTTACAGCCTCCTCATCATCATCTTCATCATCAACCGAGCTCATTTTAAACTTCTTAACATCCTCCACCACAGCACTCCTGTACAGCCCCATATCGGTGGCTCCGGCCACCATGTGGTACCCCCTCCGCCGCATCTCCGGCGGCGCGTCGTGCGGCATCGCGAATCCCGACAGATACGCGCGGCCGCCTTTCAGAACCGCCTTCTCTGCCTTCCGCAGGACCTCCTTAACCTTCTTGTGCCCAGGATCCCAAAGGTACCCCATGCTCCCGCTCAGATCCAACGGCCCCATTTGCACGCAGTCCACCCCATCAACGGCCGAGATCTCGTCGATCTTCTCCACCGCCTCCTCCGACTCCACCTGGCACATGATCAGCAGCTCTTCTTCGTAGCTCGTTAAGTACCCTTCGTTGATGCCGTAGTTCGACGCGCGGACGATCGGGTGCGCCGCCCCTCGGACGCCGGCCGGCGGGTACCGGCAGTACGACACGGCTTTCCGGGCGGACTTAGGGCTGTCGATCATCGGAAACATGATGCCCTGCGGGCCGATGTCCAGGGCCTTCTTAGCCCAGGCGGCGGAGGACTCCGGGAGGCGGAGGATGGCGGCGGTGTTGGTGGCGGCGAGGGCGCGGAGACAGGGCAAGGCGTCGGAGATCCCTCCGTGGCCGTGCTCCATGTCGACAACGGCGAAGTCGTAGCCGGCGAACCCCGAAATCTCGGCGATTGTTGGGGAAAACGACAGGAGGAAGATTCCATACAGAGTTTCGCCGTTCTGGAGGCGAGATTTAAGCGAATTTGACGAGGCAGCGGCGGCGACGGCGGCGGAGCACGGCGGAGGGGGAATTAGGGATTTGGGGTTGAGATTTAGGGTTTGGGGGAATGAGAATGAATGGGATTTGAAATTGGGGCTGGGACAATTACCAGCAGCAGGTAAGAAGGATTTCCTGAGAGCGGACATTGAAGAAACAGCGGAAGAAGAAGAAGGGATGCAGAGGGAGTGTGAGAAGGACGCCATGGCTGAGTTTCAGAAACTGCAAGGGGCAAAAGTATAAAAACTTAGCAGAGGACAAAGCCACCAAGAGGGTGTATATCCAGAGTGTTTGGCACGTGACAATTCCACAAGGCTTTCATCAATGATACTTATTAAATACTATACTGACCCAAATATAGGGAAAAAACAAAGGTTGTTAGAACAGTAATAATAACTACTCACCGTTAGGTCGTGATGATGCATCAAGACTTGAAAGAAGCATTTTTCCATGGCAAGGGCATCTTCATACGTTTCATTTCCTCCGATAAAGCACGAAAATCCCGCCAACCCCCCAAACTCTAGGAATTGCTTAGAACGTTACCTTGTAAACAAGCCCAGCACTACTGAGCTTAGTTTTGAACATGTGCCCGAAAACCTGCTCGAAACCCTTCTGATGATGATCGTATTCGTAGCACCGCCCACATCGAGCACAGCGTCAGTGTTTCTAGCACCTGTAAAATCCAAAGTAATCAGCGGGTGCGGACGATCTGTGCATGGAAGAACTTCTCCATGAGGCGAATCATGAAGAAGCCGAGGGCTTCGTCACAGTGGAAGCTCCCATTGTGGGCGCCAGACTCTCTTTACGGCAGTGGACATCAGTGGCGCAGTTTTGATGTTTGAAACAGCAAGGCAACTGAATCTGCTCCGTTCCTCTGCTACATACATATATTCAACTTCTTCATTTCTTAAAACGAAGTCAGGTTGAACGTTCCTTCAAAGCCTTGTGCAGATTCGATTGCTTTCTTTAGCTTTGAAAGTGAGCGGTTAACCTTATTTATGTTCCGGGCGGGCCATTGAGAAACTCCATGCCATCTACAGGTACGCTTTAGTGTAGAAGCAGAAACTTGAAAAGCAGAAACATTTATGCAGGATATGATTAGATTTTGATATGTGCAAATATAGGTATGTAATAAATAATGTATGCTTACCCCCAAGAATCTTCGCCGCATCCTTCATAGGGTAAGAAAAGTATTGCTGCAAAACCTCCAAGCTAATAGCTTTTTCTGCCTTCCCTCCCTTTCTCTTGGGTGATTTTTGCGTGTGAGTAGCTGCAGTAACAGATCTTCTATTTTGAGCATCAATGGGAGCAGAGCTAGTTGCAGGCATTGCAACCAAACATGGTCTTTGATCAAGCTTTCCATCAATGGACCTCCACACAAGATCAAGGTCATTTTTGGACAAAACCATCGAGTCGCGGAGGTTTCGCACCATTGAGAAGGAGTTGAGTGTGGTGTTCTGATCATCATACCTTTTAACATTTTGATTACCCAATGAAGCAGCACAGTTAGAGCCCGGATCAAGATCGTCATCCATGGATACTGTACTGATCTCTCTAGGTCTCCATTCATTGTCAAGATCTTCTCCAGAAGCCATCCTTAGGCTTCCAAGATGTTGTTTCATTGTCACCAGAATGGAGTTCAACAGGGCACGCTGATTATTGTAGCCTTCAATGTTAGGCGGCAGAAAGAATTCTAGAACATAGTTGTCATTTCCAGAGTAGTTACTCTGTAAGCAAATTGCGAAGCAGCTTCTCAACCCAAACATCCTTGCATAATGTACCAACGGGTATTCAATCTTACAAAATTTAGTTATATCTGGACAGAAGCATGAGTTGCGGGAAGCAAATGCTCTGCCAGCAACACCTTGCCCCTTCTGCAAATGATGTTCTGCACATGCCTCACAGAAACCCCACATATGAGCATCAACAACATAAAAAGCCACGTCAGTTGTCGAAAGGCAGACCTGCCCTGTGCAGCTCCCATCAAAGCTACTGCATGGTTCCTTTAGATCACCACAATTGACGAGAATGGAGTGATGCCGGCAAGGAACCCAAGTCTGAGCTAGTGGTAACGCGTGCGCTTCACAAACCACTGTAATTATCTCCAAAATTTCAGCCAATGCAATTTGCCTACCTTTATTGCGTATCTGCTGTATAAGAATAGTATGATACCACAGACATAGATGAAGTTTGAGTAGGAAGAAAAATTACTTGAAGCTGACAATGATATTCAAATCAACAAATGCATCTTTTTACCTGTATGTTTTGACTCGATATCTCTGAACTTTTCAAATTCACTGCCTGCAAAGAATTAAACATAGTTAATGGACAATATAATAGAAACATAATAGAATGAGTTTTTAATGGACAATTGTTGTCCAGCACAACATTTTATATCATAAATGTATCAACAATAGATCTGGACTTAATATACAATTTCAGGATCTAAATTCTTGCGTTGAAAAAGCAATGGAAATATTTCTCTATATTGTTCAAGATGGTAAACGATCATTGTAGTTTCACAAATACCGTGGACATTGACAAGAAGATCTAAAACAAGTTCCATCACCCTAAAGTAAAAGCCTGAGTATGTTGTCTTAGTTACTTGAATTGACCCCAGAGATTGTTGTCTGGGCAACAAGGCAAAATAAGCCATCTCCAATAATAATCATGAGCAACAATAGCTGATTCTCAGGCATCCTCAGTTTGCACTAATTCATTTTTAGGTTCATGAAGATCATTAGCTGTGAAATCCTTAACAATAAAGAAAATAGACAATTTAAACACTGTATATCAAACATAACGTAAGAAATACTATAATGTTCAACAATTAAGACCATGAAATGAAGTTAAAGAGCAGAAAACCAATGAACTAAACATAAATTAACCTCAAGTGCTCGGCAGATTTCATCGACTTCTTGAGCGTAGCTGATCTTCTGGGAGGTCATTATTAACTCAAGCACACCAACACAAGATTGCCCACTAGACTCAAATACAGGTAAAGCCAAGGTTCCTCGAACATTCTGATGCATTGCATGGTTTAGACGTGAAAATTCTTTGCTAGAGTAATAGAGCACATTTGGTGACCATTCTGGCAACTTTCGCCGAAACACACGACCAGCAATATCTAGACTTCCATCAGACTCTCCGTCAATTGGAAATGTATATGACAGAGATATCAACCTGTATTGATGAAGTCCATTACTTGAAGGATCTACAACAAAGGGTTGGCCGGATGTGGTGAGCACATACCGGCCAGCATTTTTGACAGGGACCCAAATCTGTGCCAGAATATGTTGCCTAATCGAATCTTTGAAGTTTCGAAGAGCCTGAGACAATCTCTCCATAATTATCGAATTTCCATCATTATCAGCCATAGGCATCAAGCCAGTAAAAGGTGAAGGGAGCTTCCTTTTGTCGGCATCTCTAGAAGCAGTTTCAATCACCATGTCAAGATGACCAGTATCTGTCCAAATATGTCAAACTCTCACTTAAACATTACAGTACAATAGATTCAACAAATTAACAATGTTAACAGACAATTGATGCTTACAATGCAAGATACGTCTTACAAGCTATTGATCAGTCAGTTTTTCAATTAGTTCTGTTACTTAAACCAAACCAAATAGATTCCATTAAACTAGCACAAACTAATACGGAAATTTAATTAAGCACAAACTAAACCAAACCTCAGAACAGTTAGAGCACAAACAAAACCAAACCTCAGAACAGTTAGAACACAAACTAAGGGAAATTTAATTAAACATTAAAACAGTTATTTAACTCTATTAAAGCTGTTACTGAAACCAAACCAAATCGATTCAAGGATGCTCGCAATATATCTAGTAGTAATTCACAATGATACAGTTTTATATCGAAATGAAAACCAAAAGAAGAAAGGGTTCTTCAAATAGAAATTGTGTAACCTTGAATTCGTAATAAAAATCTGTAAGAACTCCAAAAGCCATAAGTATAACAAATACGGAATACCACCAAACAAAATGTGGAAGCAAAAGCCATACAGGAACGAGTACTCGAGGAGCCAGCAAACCGTGGACCATCGCCATCATTGTTATGATCATCAGAAAAAGACCACAACGGAGACAAAGGCTGCTCCAAGCAAGACAGCACAAGCGGAGAGGATGGAGTACAAGCTGCTCCGGCAAATAAATGATCCATCGGTGACACTCCATCGAAGTCGAAATCCAAAGCCATCAGAAACTCCGCGGCAGAAGACGGCCAATGAACTGGTGCGACGGTAGTCTCAGCCTCGGGTTCCGACGGAGGCACTTCCATATCGGCGAAATTCTCTGCGGTGCGAAATTCGACTTGGCGGTTCTCGATTCTCCGATCGCCATTTATAGGAGAAGCATTGGCGCTACTTGCAGAATGCGTGCAAGAAGACACCCGATATTTAAATTAAAATAAAATTTATCAAATAATAAAATCATTATAATAATATGTATAAATAAAATATTAATCTCAGTCAAGAGAGCCCTTAGAGATAAGTCGGGGCCATTGCTTCTAATGGTCCCAATTGATTTCAAAGGCTCACCTTCGTATCATTGCTTTGAAAATCATTTTTTGGAAATCAATTAAATTTGATACAATTTTATAGATATCTAGAAACTAGTATATTCATTTAAAAATAATTTTTATTTGATAAAGGGTATGTTTGTTAATATATCTGGGATATTTTAATTTTACTATTATTTTATAAATATATATATATATTTATATTTTTATATCCCCTATGCACCATGTGATTGCACCATGAGTCACATATTTAGATTAACAAGTGTTTCTTTTGAAATGATTCAACACTTGGCACTTTGCATAAGTAATCCTCTATTTTAAAGTATCTGGATCATACCTTCCGGCCTATACAAATTTTCTAAATTAAAATTATTATTACATATAATTTACAATTTATTTTAAATTTAAAGATTTAAATCATTATTGTTGATATTTTCAATTGTATATTTTAGTAGTTAGAAATATTGATTGGAACGAAGATCGAACAAACTAACACTGTAACATCGATGATTTCTCCTAAAATGATTTACTCCTTTCCGAGTGAGCGAGAGAGACATGCAAAACAAATTTTTTTATGCAGCCAACACAATAGTAAGTACTAACACACACCAATAATCACAAGCAACGATACTTATTATAAAACATTTTTACATACACAAAAATAACATCGAGCATTTGTACAATCAACAAGTTCTGTCATGAAAAATGGTCCATCAGATGAATATGTAAATGTAATTTAGGAAGTTGCACAAGAATGAATAATCAAAACTACCATACAAGTAAGTCTACGTGCACAACAAACTTTGATGGTGTAAAGGAGGTAGGTATAAACGGCGGTATGGATCGGGGAAGTCGGCTCATGATATACACAGTACATAAAATTAGGCACTTATTATACCAGCCAAAACATCGCTCTTACCTCGGGCGTAAATGGTGTAGACCAGCCGAATTGCATCGAGCCATCCGTCCAGGGACTCCCAAGATTCGGCAACCTGCAGTGTGTGTGTAAGCAGCAAAATTAGCACGAATTATTGGGTGGTGTACACTCGGGTTTGCAGATCATGTAGTTGGATAGAACCAAGAAGCCTTTGGGAAGCATAATCATTTTACCAAGTAAAGGGGTCCGTGGATTGTGTCGATGCACAGGCCAGCACCGGGAGGCAGTGTAAGATCAGCACATGCTGACACAGAAACGATGCTCTGTACATCGACAGTTATGGAAGGTTTAGAGGTGAGATCTCCTGATTTTGACGAAAGGCTTGGGGATGAATGTCTTTGTTCGTATCTGTTAACCTGCGAGAAAGCAGAATTAACATCCTGGTGAGAATGGGAATTAAGAGGATTAGTAAATATTATATTTTGGATTTCAAGCTTTTAAGAGTTCCATGGTAAATTGATCAAGCTGAGTCGGAGATTCTGATAGATATGTGATTAAGCGAAGAGTAATTGGTGACGATCTTGTTTCAATAGAATCAAAGATATTTGCTGCTTACCTCTTGAAGTCCTTCGTGACTTAGCACAAACTGAGTGCGTTTCCAGTCATTGTGAGGCGCAACAGGATTTCCGGCAGGCGGTGCATTCAGATATCCAACCTTTAGATACGGAAGAGGGAGCTGGACAATACAAGTGCTTTTTAGACCTTAGATTTATAAAATGTAAAGTCACTGAAAAAAAGGATACAATGAAACCTAATGGTTACTGATCTTCCTCCGTACAAGTGAGAAAAATTAAAAAAGATCGACCAAACATAATAAACATAAAAGGAGAAGATATTTTAAATCAAAATAGAGAATAGAAAATAACAGAAGGAAAACAAAATTGGTTTCTTGAGTCTACTCAAATTGATAAACTGCAATAATTATATTACTATTTTAGTTAATGACACATGGAAAAGCTGGCCTCTTTTCATGATATCATCTAAATGTAAATACAAAAAAGAAAAAAAAATGTTTAGTATCCTTATTACTGATATAGATAATAAGATGGCCTAAGTTTTCAGTGCAGAAAAACATTCAAATTAGCACCAAACTATAATAGAAATATATTTCAATTACATTGTACATGTAAATTTAAAAACAAAAAAAAATGCTGAAGAGCTGGCATCTCACCATAGATCGCACGAGTTTTAAAGCACTGGTGTAAACCTGCATGAAATCATGATGTCCAACATTAATAATACAGAACAAAGTATTTCCTCAGGCAAATGAAAAAAATGCCAAAATGAACAGGGGATACGAAATTCCCTGAAGCAGTTGATAGAAACGACAAAATTAGGAAAAACAAAAGAGTTATGTAGAAAATGGGAGCAATCGTAGCATTATAATAGAGATCAAAATGAAAATTTTCAGTGTATATGATGTGAAGTGAAAAAACACGAGATAGGAGAGAAAACTTTGGGTTAAAAGTAATGCCCTTACCGAGTAATTTGGCTTCAATGCATGTGCAGCAGCAATATATATAGCAGATTGGCTGTATAACTCATCTGGAGAGGCCTCCTTTCCATTCATGTGTCCTCCAGTTCTTGATATGTCTTCTGCTAGTCCATACTGCAAAATTTGTCTTGTTTAGGATAACAGATTTGACAACATTCATCTTTCCCTGTTTTCTAAGTCGTTTAACATGTTAAATTTCATTTTCAGTTAACAAACGGCACGTGCCGCCAAATTACTGATGGGGCAAGCATGTGTTAACTAACCAGTACAGTTCCAAGATTGTAAATGGCCCTATGGAAATCAAACTGAAGCCGTATTGCAGCACGGAACTGTGAACAGGGAAAGAAAAGAAAGTATATTAGTCTATAACTAATTCTTAATTTAACATCGATGGGGGACATAGCTTCAATACCTTGCTGATAGCAGTTTTCACAATAGTCTGCTTGTCACGAGCAGGAACAATAGCACTGAGTTCCTGAGAGATGGGGGTTTTGAACACAAGGTAAAGGAAGAATAAGACTCCAACACACACAAACAGGGACACCAAAACTCGAGTTTTCATATTAGGACATGATCCACCAAAATGAGGAAAACCATTGGCTAAGATGAAAATTATGGATGTACCTGAAGAGCAAGTCCCCAGTTGTTAAGCGCCTGTGAATTCATCAGTTTTAGTAGACATAAGGAAAATAAAAAAGAAATGTTACAGGGGCAGTCTCTAGAAGGTAGGGGATGTTGAATGAAGAATAATATTTGGAATTTAAATAAAATCATCAATTAATTATATTTGCGGCTGCAACAACATTATGAATTGGCTGCCTACTTAAGTCAGCTTAATTAAGTTAATGGTTACCTGGGGACTGTTCCAATTGAGTTGGACAGCCTTTTCATAATTCTTTGTTGCCTGAAAAAGGTAATTCTCTTTTATCAGACAAATAATTTAACCACATATTGTAACAATATGCTTTTAAATATGGAACAAAACTATATTGTGAGCTCAAAAGACGTTTCAATCCGCACATTTAGTACAAAAACATGTAACGGCCATAATAGGACCATTTTCAGATTGCTATATTCACCACACTCCACATAGGTAAAGACACAGAAGAAAACAATCAATAAACCAAAAATGCTAGACTGTAAAAGTTTAAATATTAGAAATCAAGACAAATTATTGTCTGCCATGACCTATATTAATCCATCCATACAGCCATCTGACAGAGCAATGATATAATGCTCACACATCTATAAACCAACAACTACAAATAATTCCTTCATATCGAAAGAAGAAAAAAAATAAATCCAGTGCACCGCGCACTACATCAAACACAAGAATGCATTCTCAATCAAGATTTAATGACACTAACATATAATAAAAATTAAAAATTAAAAAAAAAAGAATCGAATTTCTACTCCTCTCACTAGATGCCAGCGAGAAACATATGATAAAAATCTAGTGCACAGCTCACTACATTAAACACAAGAATGCATTCTCAATCAAGATATAAAAATCGTAAGCGGCCTCTGACGACTACAAAAATCAAACTTTACCTGTTTCCAGAGTTCCTCAGCCTCCTTTGTACGTCCACGCATTTTGGCTCGGTCAGAGATTGCAATAGCCCAATTATAGTAAGCCTGGCCCCATATTTTCAAAAAGATTTATTATATGTAATAGTAATTATTTCATATATAAAATCAACTAATTCCTACAGATGATTATAAATTTTGGCTCAGTCAGAGATTGCAATAGCCTAGTTATAGTAAGCCTAAGCCCTAATTTTTCCAAAAGATGGATTATAACTAATAGTAACCATTTTGATATATAAAACAACTATTTTCTGCAATGAATATAAAAAGAAACCAATAAGAACTGAACAAGTAGTACATTAACTTATCATCTATTGGAATTTATCACCAAAAGGGTAATATGCTAGAAACTATGGTATCTAAATAAAATGCACACAGTTCTTGGTAGCAAAAGTTAAAAGTTCACACGATCAACATTACATACACAAAAAGCACACATAGAAAATATTGATCTTTGAGATGGCCCCCCTTTGTTACGAAGCATCAAAAGTATTTGCAAAATACTCCTTCATATGAACTTTCAATAACCAAAAGAAAGAACACACCGCAATCCCAACTCTTGAACATCATTAAAATAGAAATGACACATACATCATTAAGTGTGGGGCAAAGTCGTGTAGCCTCTTCGTACTTTCTGCATGCTTCTTCAAGCAAAGAATCCTTGGAAGGAGAACTTGATTCTGGGCTTACATTATCAGCACTTTCCTGAATTAGCAGTTTTGGACTATCAAATAAGATATGTTTATGATTGTGAGAATATATAAATTGAACTTAATATCTCAAAGAATATACAAAATCTACTGAGATTTGACCCAGCTGGAACCCTTGAGAGTTCATTGATCACATCTGAAAATTCACATTAAATATATAATATCTAAAACATAAATATTACATTTTATTGATCATTGTGTTCTCTCCAATCCCCCAAATTTTAAAGATAGACCCTACTTTATGACCTTTACACCTCACACAGAAGTAAGAACTAAGAACAACTTTAAAATATTGACTGACCATTTACTTATAAAGGAAAAAAACCAGGACAAGCACAATAAGAACTCCCAATAACAGAAACTATTATTTCACATTTACTACACTTCAACTTAAACTGCAACATACAGACCTGAAGAACAAGTGCCCAGTTGTACAATGCATCATAATCCTCTGGATTTCTCTCCAGAGCAGTTGCATATCTAGAAATCAACATTGAAATGCGTCAACAATCTAATACAAATTCAGTGAACAAAAGCTTTCTATGGAAAAGCATTTGGTAATAGAAACCAGAACCATGACAGACTGATTTCAACAATATAAATCAAATTGAAATAAATATTAAGCTTGTAAATAGCACAAACACAACAGATCAATGACATGTTCTATTGGCATATGTGATACAGCCATAAAAAGTGGTACAGGTAGAGCATGTATGGTAATGGCAGATAGCACAAAGAAAATTATGGGAAGGTATAGTTGCACTTCATAAAAAATGTCAAAAGATGCGCTATATAACAATTACAAAAGTCATATTAAAATCTCTATTTCCCTATGTAAATGCAAGTTTTACACTGTCATGATTATGGACCATATTCTATATTGATCACATTTGGAACTATAAATCATAGTGTATACAATGGCATGTAGAAGGAGCTCTGTTTGGGTGAGGATTTTCAGTTTCAGCTGGAAATGGAATTGAAATGTTTGGGTCACAATATGTGTTCGGTTATCATAAATCATAATAACAAAAATGAATTGCAGACACATAAGAAAATTTTGATTACATAATGCACCAAAGATAAGATACTACCTTCTGGCAGCAAAAGTAAGAATCCTTTGACGGGATCTACCTTCCTCATCAAGACCTGTGACGCTATTAATCAAGTCCATAGCAGCATTATTCTGCTCAATTTGTTGTTCTGAGGTTCGTTGGCTAGAAACACTATTAATCAAGAATTAAAGAGCATCAGTAGCATTTCATTGCAAGAATAGCCAAACTCCCTAAAGAATGCTGGACGGACTTCACAGAATCAGCCATCACAAAGTGCATATTGATATTGGGACAAATGAATTAGCACGTTAATAGATAACAACTAACTATACGATATGTAAAAAGTAAGTCACAAAACTACATAAGCACACAGAAAAGAAAAAAATACTGCAGCGATGTGGATAATTGACCCTTCACATCCATAACAAAAAACTGTGGATCCTACAGGGTTATGTAAAGTCACTTGACAAATGAGAACTGAAGTTACCTGTGAGGAGTATCAACCTCTTTCCCACCTTTGCCATTGGCGTCTCCTTTCTTCAATTCGTTCAGCAATTCTCTCATAGTAAAAGTCTTATTCCCGTCCTCTTTCCCCACTTCCGATTCGCGTATCCCATCTTCGGTCGACTTCACCGCCTCTGATTCCTCAGCGCTGATTTCGTTCGAAACTTCTTCCTCCGGCACCGAACTCGACACTTCAGCATTAACCACTTGCACTTCGCTGGACTGTGCACCCTCAGTCGACTGCAAATCGGAGTCGTCGGGATCTGGATCGGCCGCCGCTACCACCACCGCTTCTGCTGCCGGCACCGGTTCCGGTGAACCATTTTGCAATTCAGAGTGTTGAGAATCAGAAGACATGCTGCTGGCTACAAACAGACGTTTCGGTTTCGGATTCGGATTGTAGGCGGCTGAGCAACGAGATCTCCGGTAGCCTTCCTTCAGTCCAACGACCAGTCGAAGTGAAAATTCAGTTTGCCCGGCCCGAATTTCGGATTAAGCATTTCTCATGGGCCTAGGGTTTATATAGACGACGTGAAGCCCATATATGACTAATGGGCTTTACAATGAACCCATTTGTCCAATTGGATTATGATGAAAAATGCTTAAAGACTAAGACTCAATGGATGTAAGGGTGGCAAGTGTTCCGAACGGTTCTGCTGGTCTCGAGACCCGCCCCACTAGAAAATATTATGATTCAAGACTCGGTTCGCCTCGCTTTGATCCGTTCCACGGAGGCAAATCTGACAAACCCGACTTTGTTTTAAGAAAAAAATAAAATATATTTTTTGAAAATTAATTTAATAGTAAAAAAAGGTGCATCAAAGTAAAAAGAAAAAAAAAAATTATAGTTTTAAAAATAAGAATAATTAAATATTGACAATAATGGCAGTGATAGACAATCATCACTAATCTCGATTATAAAGAGAATTACAGGGGAAACAAATGCTAGCTTAAAATTAAGATTCTATTTTATGTTTAAATTGTTTTAAATAAATTAATTATAATAATTATTAAAATATTTCAATTTGGATCAAAGTCTAAAATTCAAAATCCACAATCTGCTCCGAACCAAAATTTTTAGACCTGAATACGCTCCATTAAGATCGGATTCGGGAAGGGTCCGGGGCTAACCCGCCCAATTTGACATCCCTAAATGGTGCGATTTGTTAGGTGTAATGAAATGACAATAAAAAAGAATAGAATTGTAAATAAAATAATTTAACAAAAAAAAAAATATTAAAAAGAAAATTTAGATTGAGACAAATATATATATATATATAATGATCTGAATAAATCAGTCTAGATAATAAAATGTATTGAAAAATAAGATAATGAATGAATTAAAATATTTACTGTAATTATTACTTTAACTTCATTATTTTGTTTTAATTTCTTTTATCTTCATCATATCCATGTTAATATTATTACATTTAATACATTACTTTTTTTATTGTTATATAAAATTCATAATTTATCCAAAAATATATAACATATCCTTAATTTTGACTGTTCCAAAAACAGCAGCAGTGGTGATCAAATTGAAATTTAATTTTATACATACATTGTAACATCATTGTCGTCATTTAATTAAATTAGTTTATCCATTTATATTATATATATCAATTTCTTTAATTTTTTCCTTTTTTTGTTGTATATTTATTTTGGCCTTGTCAATGGCGTGTGCAGCTGATGTCATCATATCATCTTCAAAATCCCCCATTTTCTTGGTTGATATGCTTAGTAAGATTGGAACAATTTTTTTATTTAGAAATTTGAAAAGTAGTCAATCAAATAATAAATAAATTTGAACTCGAATTAAAATGAAAATTACTGTATAATGATTTTCATAGATGTAATTTTATATATATACATATATATATATATATTATGTAACATCAGTATTTCATGAAAACGTGACAAAGGTCTTTCTCGAAAAAATAGTCTATTTTAAAATTATTTTAAATTTTTATATCTAAGATGTGTGCGTTTTATTTCTTTGTGTTTTGTTTTTTATTGGTTTTTTAAAATAATAAAGTTGTTAAATCTAATATTTATATAAATATAAAAAAATACTCCTTCTGTCTCAAATACAGTGCAATATTTTATTTTTTGTTTGTCTCAAATTCACTGCAATATTTTTAAATTTAAAAATAATTAATTATATTTATATATATATTAATATATACTTAACGTTATCCTATCACATCACTCAAATAAAATAAAAAATCTAATAATCATTTCTCATCACTTAATTTTCAAATTATCATACTTAATACTACTGACCTAAATTATCGTGCCGAATACAAATATTGTACGGTGTTTAGGACAGAGAGTATATAATTAAAATTATATAGTAAATATTTTTTTAAAAAAAAATCAAGAAAAATAAAGTTTTATTTTCAAATTTATAATATTGATAATTATTGTGATACTCAGGTGTGCGATTGTTTGATCAGATCCCGAATGTGGATGAGTCAATATTAGGTTACTTGAAATTGATTAGAAGTTAAATGAATTTAATAAATTAATGATTTTAACAAAGTACATACTCCCTCCGTCCCACTTCTTATGTCCACTTTTTCATTTCAGTTCGTCCCACTTATTTTGTCACTTTTTTTTTTTGGAAAATAATTATACACTTTAATATTATTTTTAAAATTTTAATTTTTAATTTTTTCAAATTTTAATTATACTAATCAATTATCTTTATCTTAATCTGTAATTATTTTTATTATACGATAATTATTTTCACTAATACAGTTTTAATTATTTACTAATTATATCCCTCCTAAATTTCCGTGTCTACGGTAACGTGATCAAATTATCCGGGACGAAGGGAGTATTTTTTAATGAAAATCCTATTTAAAAAACTCTAAAATTAAAGGTATTTAAATTTTGTGTTAATTTGTAGGGCCAGTAGAACAAGATATATCCATTGTGTTTCCTTTTTTTTTTTTTCCAATTACTTATCAAAAAACGATATGTATATATATATATATATATATATTAAATTTTAATATAAAATACAAAATCAACAATTATTTTTCAAAATTGGATGATGTCGTAGTGTTCCTAAGGTGGGGAGGACGTGACCATGTGGTGCAAGAAACACGATCGTAGCCGTCGGATGCATCTGATCCGAGGGCCACGATTGCTCTGCCCCAATGGGATGTAGCTATCATCTTCCATTCTTCTTCATTAATTTTGCAACCAAATTTTGTGTATGACTATTGGAATTAGGCATAACTTGATTCTATAAAATTAGTTATATTTATAATATACATTTAAAAAAGTTAGTAATATATAAACATTATGGGTAACACCATATGAAATTAAATTATAAATAAATTTGATTGAGGACTACAATACTTGCATTTTATTATTAATATTGTTATTTTATTTTATTTTTTTTATTATTAATACTTTAACACGTAGTTATCATAATCCTTTAAAATTAAAAAATGGAGATAAATTAATTAAAAATATGCATCCAGATAAATATTATTCCTCAAAATTGGTTGGAGCAGGAAGAAGATAAACATCAACCCACAAATAACATTCACATGTATCTTATGTTCCCAAAAAGTTGTTGATTTAAATCCACCATTTTACTTTTCCGATGTCCTCATTTATTTATTTTAAATTTTTATTAAGTAATTTTTTTGTTTATAAAAAAATATATTACTTTCTCCATTTATTTTGTAAAAATGTGATGACTTTATTATTTTAATTTATCTATAGATTTAAAATATACTCATACTATATAAATATTTAGTACAAAAATACAATTCTTATTTGAATCTTTACACTCAGCAATTTTTTTACATCTATTCTATTTTAATCCAAAAATTATATTATTTTCGTCCCGCAAAAAGAGTAACATTTATTTTTTGCACGTATATCTTTTAATATTAATATTATATTGGTTTATAGTGAAAAAAAAAAACAAAATTGCCCCTATTCGATTGTGTGATAAAAAAGTAATGACATTTGTGTAATATATTGAAAGTTATAAGGATATTAATTATTTTAGATACGTAGTATAATTATTAAATTATAAAAATAATATCCTTTTTTAGTACGGATAAAAATGAAAAATTGTATCATTTTTATGGGACGAAGGAGTAGTATTATTAACCCTATGAAAATCTCAATTTTACCCTTACAAAAATTAAAAAACAATATTAAAATGTTATTTTTATAATTTATGTATCAAAAAAAATTTGAATATACTTTTGCAAAATAAAGGGAGTATTTATTTTAAAAACATCTCATTCGGGTTTGTTTGCTCAAATATTTTTTTGCAATATGATTATCAATATATATTTTATTTTCATAAAAATTAATATTTAAATCTCTGATGCTTTTAGGTCACCTGCCGCACATAGTTCGTCATAGTGTAATTTGTCTGAAGCTCGAATTGTTAGGCAAACGCAGTCATTAATTATATATCCGCAAACGGGAGTCCCCAACACGCCCCCTCAAGTGGAAGTGGAGTCTGCGAAACTTGCACATGCATATACCGCAAATAAGGACGAGTGGGACTCGAACTCGGTTATTTATAAACCACGTTATCAATATATATGTATATATATAAACCAAATAAACCCTTTAATATTTTGCAATTTTTAGTTATAAAAAATAATTTTAAGGCTCGGTTATTTAACAACTTTTCTTTTCTACATCGTTACTCTATAATTATCATGCTTTCAAAGAAAAATGTCTTATTCTGTTGCAAAACATTTTATCAAATCCAAATATAAATCAAATGCACTTATATATATATAGTGGTATTTTAGTTTTTCTTTTCTATTGATTTTTGTATATGGAATTTGACAATAAAAAAATAAATATATTAAAAAATATATTGTAATGACAAAATTAATATAATTAAAATAATAATTGAATATATTTTGGCATAAATATTTTTATGTATAGCAATATATAATATATTTTACTTATTTATTTATTTTTGAGTGATTCCTTACTAGAATAGTCTATAAATGACAAGTTTGTCACTCTTACAAATGTTTATAATTTAGTTTTTTGTATATATGCATGTATACCATTCTTAATTCTGTTTGGTGCCAAATATATATATATTTATTGATTTATTCCCGGCAATTGGGAGATGGGATAAGATCCACGTGGGTGTCGCGTGCACATTGTCATCAAATAAATAAATAAATAAATAAATATATATATTATGAACATAGAGATGGATAATGTAATAATCTTGACGTGTAATAATAATAACACTAATAATTTTCTTTCTGAATAATTGTATAAATTAAAACAAATATCTCTCGAGTGGATAAGTGTTACATAAAGCTGAGCTATAATTGTAAATTATAATAACTAGTTCATAATGCACAGACATAACATGCCTTCTTTACAAAAGTTTATTAATTTTATATGTATATATTTTATTCTTACAATATACTTACTTTATATATCGACTATAGATGTGTTTGCTTTTTTATTTTAA